GTTTTAATCTCGATTTGTTTGTGTTTTGATTACTGAAATTAGCGGCTAGCGCTAATTGATGCATTAGCTCTGATTGCGACTCGTTCCCTGCTACTTGTGACTGTCGTCCGCTTCGATTCCCCATCTGTTCCATAAATAAGAAATGGAGCCTACGAGTCCCAGGGATCCGAAAGGTGAAATACAATCCGCACAGCCAATTATCGGAGCCCTCAAATTGCAAAAGTTTATGGTCTAACTTTGGCCAACTTTGTCTGAATAACAAGTCAATTATAAGGGTTATGGCAGGTACACTGTAAAATAATTGTCTAGATTTTAGACTTAATCATAACATATCTTTTTTAAGAAAATTATAAATAGGTTCCTTAAATTATCGAATGTATATAGCAACATTTTAAATTTAAAACCCTTTTTAAATGATTAAAAATTTAAATTATTTAAAAGAGATTTTTTTAGTGTATTAGAAGGGTTACAACTGCCTATATAAGGGAGATTTCTGGTAAGGATATATCAAAAAAGATTTATCCACCATGGCCAAGTGGTTTCGGTTCCTCAAGCGCGATCAATCCCTTTCCGTGTATTTCTTTGCTGTGCCCCGTCTCAGCCTGAACATAATGGGTTATTGGCCTGAAAAGTCGGGAGATAGGTTGCCCTGGAGATCCATCGTTAACTTTGTGATCCTGGCCATTGGCGTCATCACCGAACTGCATGCAGGACTACGTTTCCTGGACCAACAGCAGATCACTTTGGCCCTGGAGACCCTCTGTCCGGCGGGCACTTCGGCGGTCACGCTGCTCAAGATGTTCCTCATGCTGCGTTATCGCCAGGATCTGTGGGCCATGTGGAACAGGCTAAGGAACCTGCTCTTCGATCTCAGACCGGAACTGCCGGATCAGCGGCAAATCCGACTGAATCACTCCGTCATGGCGGCCCGCATCAACTTCTGGCCACTGTCCACCGGATTCTTTACCTGCACCACCTACAACCTAAAACCCATTCTCATCGCCTTGGTCCTGTTCCTTCAGAATCGAGACGACGATTTCGCATGGTTCACTCCCTTTAATATGACGTGAGCACATTGAAGATGTGAATAGAAACATCAATTTCTATAATTTTAATTTGGTTTTTATGCCCAGTTAAAATAAAAAAAAAAGTTCTAGTTACTGGCGATTTTTTCCACAAATAACAAAAACTATCTTTTCGTAAATACTAATTATTTGAAAAACTAAATTTACGAAAAGAAAGTTCTAAATACTTTAAAAAAGTCGGTATGTTCAAATTACTAGAATTTTGGAATCACTTTTAATGTAGGTGTCTTAAAGTATGCAGCATTTTTCATTGTTCTTCTGAGTTTAAAACATATTATAGCCTGCTTTTAGACACCCAAACCTAAGTTTAAAAATGATCTTAAAATCCTAGTGTTTTGTGTGACACACCCGATGAACTCAAAATTTCAAACATTTTATAAGAATATTTTTTTTGGAGTATCCTTATACATATAACTATAAGATATATTTTTTACAGCATGCCAGCAGTTCTTCTACAATCACCATTTTTTCCCCTGACCTATATATTCATTGCCTATACGGGCTATGTTACCATTTTTATGTTCGGAGGCTGTGATGGTTTCTATTTCGAGTTCTGTGCCCACTTGTCGGCTCTCTTCGAAGTTTTGCAGTCGGAGATACGATCCATTTTCAAGCCATACAAAGGTGGGTAGGTAAATCCAGTGGAACTGCATTAATTCTTACATTTTTTCAAGATCATTTGGAGCTTTCGCCAGAGCAGCTGTATAACTTGGAGCAGCGAATGCGGGCAGTGATCATCAGGCACAATGACATTATCAATCTGACCATGTTTTTCCGGGAGCGCTATGTGATTATTACCTTGGCGCACTTTGTGTCCGCTGGCATGGTGATTGGTTTCAGCATGGTCAATCTTCTGGCCGTGAGCAACAATGGTCTGGGGGCACTTCTTTATGTGGCATATACGATCGCAGCCTTGAGCCAACTTCTGGTTTATTGCTATGGCGGAACTCTGGTGGCTGAAAGTGTAGGATACTGGATTTATGTTGGTATTATGTACAGCTTTTTAACCCCTTTTTTATAGAGTGCAGAGCTGTGTCAAGTGATGTTCTCCTGTCCCTGGCAATTGTTTAAGCCTCAACAGCGACGCCTTGTTCTCTTCCTGATCATGCGATCCCAGCGACCCATGTCCATGGCAGTGCCCTTCTTTTCACCTTCACTGGCCACCTTTGCCTCGGTGAGTTACTCCTATTGAAAACCTACACTCAAAGAAATATTTGCCTTGAATTTTAAAAATTTTGAAATTAAGTTATAGTAATTTAACTAAATAAAATAAAATAATTTAAAAATAAAGTCTCTGATAACTCAGAAATTCTAAACTTCTAGAGATTTTTTTTTAAGTGTAATTTGAAGATTTTTATTGATTGATTTTTATATATAAAAACAAAACTTGTTTAATTTTGTTGCATTTTTATTTACTAAACTATAATTTTTATCTTTCGCAGATTCTTCAGACTTCGGGCTCCATTATAGCCTTGGTTACATCCTTTCAGTAGATATATATAATATGTTCCTAGTTTGTCAAAATGTTGTTACTTTTTAAATAAATAGAAAATTCGCTAGTCAATTTTCAGGATATAAATATTTTAAATATATCTTTGCGGCAGAATCATCTAGGGTTGCCACCCCATTAAAATTTGTAAACTTTTTGAGTAAAAAGGTTTAAGTTTCCTTAATTTTTCTGAAAACATTTTTAAATTAAATGAGTACAATAATTAAAACAAAAGCTTTTGTATTTCGTGGGCACACAGCGAAGGGCAGTTTTTCACCTCACACCTTTTTTCGAGCCTTTCGTATCGGCCATCTCCAATAATTAGGAGCTGGCTTTACCACTCCCGTGGGCCATTTCATTTCCCAAAACACGCAACGCGAAAAAAACAATGGTGCTGCTCAGTTTGTTGACCAAAGTGAACCCGGAATGACATCGCCAGATGAGCGGAGTTTCTGGGAGCGGCACGAGATCAAGTTCTACCAGTATGGCCATGTGTACGCCCTGATCTATGGCCAGGTGGTCATCGATTACATCCCGCAGAGGGCTCTGAAACGTGGCATCAAATTGCTCCTGATCCTCTGGGGTCACCTGTTCAGTTTGCTGCTGATTGTGGTGCTGCCCGGCTACTTTTGCTACCACTTTCGCACCCTGACCGACACTCTGGATCGCCGTTTGCAGCTGCTCTTCTATGTGAGCTTTGCCAATACGGCAATTAAGTATGCCACCGTGATTGTGACCTATGTGGCCAATACGGTGCACTTCGAGGCCATCAATCAGCGATGCACGCTGCAGAGGATGCATCTGGAGAGGGAGTTCCGGAACGCCCCGCAGGAGCCGAAGAAACCCTTTGAGTTCTTTATGTACTTCAAGTTCTGCCTGATCAACCTGATGATGATGATCCAGGTGTGCGGCATCTTCGCGCAATATGGCGAGGGGGAGAAGGGTTCGGTCAGCCAGGTGCGGGTGCACTTTGCCATCTATGCCTTTGTGCTGTGGAACTACACGGAGAATATGGCGGACTACTGCTATTGGATCAATGCCTCGGTGCTCAAGTACTACAGACAGTTCAATCTCCAATTGGGTTCGCTCAGGGAGGAACTGGACGGGCTGAGACCTGGCGGAATGCTCCTCCATCGCTGCTGTGAGCTCAGCGATCGCCTGGAGGAGCTGAGGCGACGGTGCCGGGAGATCCACGACCTGCAGAAGGAGAGCTTCCGCATGCACCAGTTCCAGCTGATCGGCCTCATGCTGAGCACCCTCATCAACAACCTGACCAACTTCTACACCCTGTTCCACATGCTGGCCAAGCAGTCGCTGGAGGAGGTCAGCTATCCGGTGGTCGTGGGCTCGGTCTACGCCACCGGCTTCTACATAGACACCTACATTGTGGCCCTGATCAACGAGCACATCAAGCTGGAGCTGGAGGGCGTGGCCCTGACCATGCGGAGATTCGCAGAGCCACCGGCACATGATGAGCGGCTGACCAGGGAGGTGGGTACCAGATATGCGGGTGCCACACACTTCACTAGGGTTTTGAAATCACTTTTGGGTGTCTTAAAATATGTAAGGAAGGGGGATGTATTCACTGCACTTCTAAGTTTTAAGTATATTGTTGCATACTTTTAGACACCTATAACCCCCGTATAATAATAATTTCCCTTTCAAACAGGAAATTATGATAATGAAATATTTCATTTCTTTTACTTTACAGATAGAACACCTTTCCTTGGAGTTACTCAACTACCAACCACCGATGCTCTGTGGCCTTTTGCATCTGGATCGCCGACTTGTATACCTAATCGCTGTCACCGCTTTTTCCTACTTTATAACTCTGGTGCAGTTTGATCTCTACCTACGCAAGAAATCCTAAAAAGTATGCAACTTTAAACGTAATGATCGAACCCGAATTTATAAAAAATCTTTAAATTTAAGAAAACCCAGAAAAAATAATTTAAAACCCTTTGAATATAACTAAATATTTTTTTTAGGTGTACATAGATCAATATATTATTATAAATAGATTTTGCGTCAGATCCAAAATATACCTATATATTATGTAAAATAGTTTATTTATTTATTAATTTTTAAAAACTATGGGAGAAGATTACTTTACTTATTTATCACTTCCACAACTTGGATTCTGCTTTGAATTTTATATAAATGTCATATATGTAATTATAACTACTCAGCTTATTTTAAAGAATATAACCCCACCAATGGGAAGTTGATTATAAAACAGAGTAAAAGACGAATGCTAATGGAAGAGGGCTTTTCCATGGACATTGCATAAGGCGTGTCCTTTAAAGATAGCAGTTCAATGGTCAGTTGTTTGTTCGGATAAGGCTTTCGAGAGGTGGTCGGTGTACTCCTTTCGGGACGATAAACGATGGCTCCTGAATGGAGGACACATTCAGTTGCTGGCTACAATGCGAGCGGCAAGGTTGTGCCGGATGGCTCTGCGCATCTGGATGGGAGTGGTCCTGGTCTTGGCACTATCCTGCCACTTCTACAGTCCCAGCCGGCGGCGCCTGGTCCACTCCCGACTTTTGGCGATTTACAGCTGGCTCATAATGGTCGCCAACTTCATATTATTTTACGGATACTATCTATGCGCCTCGACGTATTTCCCCGAGGGCACTTTTAGGCGACAAAGATTCGTGGCTCAGGTGAGTATATGAAGTTTATATATCTATCATAAAATCTTCTTCTTTATAATAGACTTTTTAAAAAGCATTTGATTTCAAGATAGTTGCTAATTTATATTTATTATAATTATAAACTGAAATGATGTATTTTTTTAAGATGTCCGACAGCAACATAGTGGTACAGATTGTGACGCTCTTAGTTCAGATTTTAGTGCGAGTGCTACGGGAACGACAGGTGTGCCAAGCGTATAACGAGGTTTCCGACATTCTGGAGCAGGAACTGAACCACCAGGAGCCCAGTCGCTTCTACTGCACCGCGTTCCTGCTCAAGATCCACAACTTTGTGCACAACTTCAACTTTGTGCTGAGCATCCTCCTGATTTGGGGCACGCGAACCTTGGTAATGGCTGACATTTTTGCTAATCTGTACTTCGTCTACAACTCACTGGTCCGGGATGCTGCCCAAATGGCTTACACCCTGCTGCTCCTCGACTTCAGCGAGGCACTGCGTCTGAATGGCCAGCGGGAGCAGAGATCCTATGGTCAGCTCATGGACCAGTTGCGCAGGCAGGAGCGCCTGTTGGGGATTGGGAGGCGGGTTCATCGAATGTTCGCCTGGTTGGTGGCCATCACCTTGTTTTCCCAGCTCTACTACAATACGAGCACAATTTACCTGGGCTACGCCGTCATCATCCAGCGGCAGGGTGCACTGGGGATGCCAATCTATTCCATGAAGATCCTACTCACCGCCCTCTCCTTTCTGGTCATCCTGGGAGACGCCCTGCTCCTGCAGATCGTATGTGAGCACCTGATGGCGGAGGAGAACCGAGTGTGCGCCAGTCCAAGACTACAGCGGCGGGATGTGGATGCCAAGGCGGCCCATAGACAGGTGAGGAAACAGCCAGGAATATAGGAGATTAGGGTACACATTGGTCAAAATAATAGTTAAATGGTTTCAAACCAACCAATTGTACATTTTACCAATGAAAAGTTACTTTCACAACAAAATACTAAACTAAAACTAAATCATTCTAAACTCACTTTGAGTATATACAATACGAATACAATAAGATATAATATAATATAACACAAATATTTCAGGAATTTCCAAAAAAAATAATATCGTCACCAATTCATATATAAACTATAGATCAAAACTAAAATTATCTCTCTCTTTTTTCCCTATTTTTCTAATTTTTGTAATATTTTTCAAGATAGTTTATTATAAAATTACCAAAATATATATTTTTTTCAGTGGGAAATGTCCGTTTTGAGAAGAGCCATTAGAAGAGCATCGCCGGAGAACAAAGTGTTGGGGATGTTTAGGATGGACATGCGATGTGCCTTCGCCCTGATTAGCAGCAGTTTGTCCTATGGCATTATTATCATCCAGATTGGCTATGTCCGCAGTTGAACTACCCTTCGCCTTCAACCCTTTTCAAAGGAAAAGTTACCGTGGTATAATCGCCACTCAATCGGCACTTCAGTTAATTGAAAGTATAATCTAAGGGGAAAGGATCTGTAACGAAGTAAACGCCAGACACGGAGCTTATGAACCCATAGTTTTGATGGCCACCTAGCGTAAAGGAAGTAAGCTAAGCATTTAGTTTTACATCGACTTAATTATATATTTTTTTTCAAGTTTAGATAATAATTATAAAATGTGATTAAGCAATAAAATATTCCAATATCGAATATTTAGTTTATATTCAATATAAATTGTGGGTTAAAATCCAATCAAGCATATTTTACATAGATTTTATTATATTTTTCAAGCCTAGAAAATAATTATAAAATGTGATTAAGCCATAAAAAGTCCAATATCGAAAATTTTTGTAGAGTTATCATTTCCTAAAATTCGAATTCAGTGTGGCAACAGTTCCGAAGTTGCTTTATTGGATTTATTCCACTATTATTTTTTTGTCAGCGGTTTGGATAGGTGGGAGAAGACATCTGGATTTTCGACGAAGTCTATTGGAAAATTATTTAACGAGTTAATATCCAAGTTCGTTGTTTTGTCCGCGGTCACTGGGTAAGTAAACTTCTTAGTGATATTCTCCAGTTTTAGGTCATCCTGCGGCAACTTTAACGGAACCTTCTCCGCCCTCAATTTGTCCAGACGTCTCTGCTCCTCCTTGATGAGATTGGTGGCCATTTCGTGGCAGTTTGCCTTTGTGGATTCGGTTTCCTGTGATTTCCTGGGGCTCAGGACCATGGCACAGCGAACTCGCATGTGGTAGGCATGGGTGGTCTGCAGGGAGCGATCCATATTCTTGGCCAGGGTCTCCATGGAGCTGGCGTTCCACTCCAGCTTGGTCTGCATCCTGGAGACCTTCAAGTCCATAACCTCGACGCGCCTCTTGTGATTGAAGAGCGCCAGGGAAATGGCCCTTTTCAGCAAATCCACCACTTCCCTCACCTCCAGCTTGCTCCGATTCTCTTTGGTGATCTTCGGTTCGGGGACAAAGGAATCAACGTCCAACTTCTTCCTCTCCACCTTCTTTTCTTCCTGCCTCTCAAAGAGCTCCTTGACCCGGCCTTTCAAGAGCCTGGCCTGCGATTCACGCACCATCCTCTCCATATTCCGGCTCCTCATGGAATCCATCTGCGCCGAGATTCTGCGATCCCTGGGCGGATGACCCGTCAGCCTGCGCTCCCTTTGCACCATCTCGAGGATCTTGAGCGGAATGGTGGAGCTCGACCTGGGTCTATCGCTGGGATCATGCGATCGCAGGGTCCTTGCCAGCTGCTCCCCCCTCCTCTGCGCATTGTGGGTCCTCATGGTGGCCGACTTCTCGAAGGGCAGGCGCTTCTTGTCCTGACCTTTGACCAAAGGGTGCATACTTACCATATTAGCTATGTAAATTGTAAAATATATATTGATATAATCAGTATTAATATTTAAATTAATATTTTATGTAATATTATCTGTATCAATATTTAATTGAATAATTAATGCAATATTATCTGTATTAATATTTTGAATTTCTGAAATGTTGTGTTTAACTGATCATCTTAACCCCCCTCCAAATCCCCTAAAAATAGTTATAAGATCTTACCATTTGGGGATGTGTTGACCCTGAAAGGTGATGTTCGTTCGGTACTCGAGTGTGGTTCCCCCGGGTTCTGGGGCTTTCTTCCCATTTTGCGAGGTTCATTACCCCCTGAGGCCGTGCCCGAGTTGTTTCTGATCAGACGCATCAAACGTCTCAAGGGTCCCTGGTTGCAGATACGCGGCCTTCCCACATCATCTGCAGAGTATATAACTTACTTATAAATCACAATCTTTATAATATTCCAACTACAGAATCCTACGCATTAGGCGGCATTGTCCGGAACCGGTTGAGCTCAGAATCCTCCTTATCCAATCCAATCTGATGGTGTGTGCCATTGCTGACTGAAGTCGTCACGACTTCAATTGAAATGCACAAAGAAAAAAAAGGGAGAACGGAAGAACAATTTAGAGACCGAATTTCACATGGGTATTTATTCAGTTGAGTCCATTACTTAGTTTGGGAACCGAACTAAATGACAGTAAATTGAAGGCCTGCTCGGATAAATTAAAAAATAAAATAATGATATTAGCATATTTAGCTAAATATGCTAAATGCAGGATGCAGCTGCATCCTGAAAAGTGTGCTACAAAAAGTTAAGGCTTTTAACCACCCCTTCACAAAATTTATAAAAATATATTTATAACCCAATTACACTAGATTCCTAAATAAGCAATAAAAAACCAGGTCATATGATTACGTATTTTTATTACGGTTTATTTCGAGTGTGTTTTTGGGGTGTGGGCGAGTGTTTCATCTGCTGATGAACAAATTACATTTGACATAATACATAATGAAAACGCTTTTGAGGCCGAATGGGGTCTCCAATTTTTTTCTCGCACATGAACATGAGTATTGTACATATGTTGGGTGTACTTGTGTGTTTTTGCCCATATATATCAACCCAATTCATAAACTTTTTTTCTGCACTATCGTATATAGCACATATAGCTCTACTGCCGATCCATACGCGAACTTCAACAAAATTGAATTTGATTTACTTTCTTTACTCATCGCTAAGGCTAAAGTTTTCTTTTCTTTTCCTTTCCTTTACTTTTTTTTTGTTTTTCGTAGGTGTATGACTAGCAAAAAACCATTGCATTTTCATGGGGGTGGCAGTGGGTTAGGATGTAAATGTAAATGTAAATGTGATGTAAACGGGATGTAAATGTTAGCGGAAACCATACGAAAGCTTGCCCGTACATGTGTCTATGTGTGTGTGTATTTTCATCGATATTCGACACTCGATATTCGATTTTCGATATTCGATTCGACAACAACAACAACAAAAAGAAAAGGCACAATTTTGATGAAACGCTTTCCCATGCTTTGTATGCGCGCGTGTGTGTAGTGGATAGGATTATACATATATCATCATCAGGGGCGAATGGGGGTTTTTTTTTGACAAGGAAATTCCCCTTCTCAGCAGCACTCCTTGCTCTAATTGTAGTATATTTTCTTTATCTAGTTGATAATTGCTTGATAGTTAGTTCTCGAGGGTTTCATGTTTGTTAGTAAAATCTAAGGCTAGTTGGAAAAGTGATTCGAATTTTGGTTTTTTTTTTAAAGGGGCGTGGCGTGTCTCGGAAGAACCGCTTGGAAAAAAGGCCTTCCCCTTCATTTAAGTAGTATATTTTGTTTTTTGAGCGAAAAAAAAGATCACTTGCTACGAATAGTTACCCAAAAAGACGTGGGGCGCACCCTGTTAAGCGGTTATCTATAGTTAACTCCTCAGCTCGTCGTTTAATGTTAGTTAATGCAATGCTTTTCGTATGCTAGTTGGATGTATCAAATTGATTAAGAGATTCGATTTGTATCTTGTTTATTACACTTAGGGTTCAGCTTCATTTTTTTGTTTGATTCGCTTAGAGTGGAAATTATTCGAATAGTTTTTTTATTTTGTTTTTAATTGTTTGTCCTTTTTGTTTTTAGGATTGTTTATTAAATATAACAATGCTCTCGGCGCATACATTGTGAAAATTATAATCAATTTGTTTTTACTTTATTTGTATAATAGTTATGTGTATATATTTTTGAAATAATATCCATAGCTGATGCTGCTGTGGCGTCGTCGACGTTTTTGCAATATACAAAAAAATTAATAAAAAAAAATGTCTCAAGAAGGTTTAAGATAGGGAGCAAGAGAGATGGACTGAGTAAGAAAAATAATAATATTTATATGCATATTCGCATGAATAATAATGTTAACACTCAACTTGAATTTTGCTAAATTTTTCGAACAAATTTCGAATGTGTTTTGCTTTCTGTGCGTTGGCTATAAATCGTAGATTGGTTTATATAAATTAATCAGCAAATATATGTATAGTTATCTAATTTGAGTTGATCTCATCTCCAGCTCTGCTTCTTCCTCGTCACTTCCGCTTCCGCTTCCTTATTTATTTATTTATTTGCCTTTGCAATTCGATTTGTCTTGTGTGTGTGTGTTTGTGTATAAAATTAGACCGCATCGGTAATCAATGTATGCTTGAATGGGTTCGTGTGTGTGTGTGTGTATTATCTACATGCTATATTTGTTTTATAGATTGTTAAATATACAATATTTTACTCATTATATAGATTTAAATCAACGCGACAACAAATTCCATTCCTCCATCTCTTTGCATTCCAATCGGTTGCTGCCGTAGTTTACATTATGCGGGTGTTTTGTGTATATTTATATAGTAAAATGACTTTGATTCGACGATCTCTTGCGGACTATAGGCTAAATGGTACAGATATATATAGTAAGTAGATGTGTGAATGAATGTCTATGGTTGTATATGCAACTTTTCCGCTAGTTTCTAGTATTTATCATACGCATGTTTATTGATTCACTTTTTTTATATAGTTCTTCTTGGTTTTACGTTTGTGTTGCTTTTAGGCAAAGGCGAGTGGGAAAAATTACATACATCTAACAACAAATGCACCAACGTTCTTCATCCTCTCATCATCGTTATTAGCTTCGATATTTCATCAATACATATTATCATTATCATTAGATCGTAATCGTAAATCGTTATCGTCATGCTCTGACTATCCGCTAGATCCGCAACCGTAACCGCATTCACATCCGCATCCGCATTCGCATTCGCATCTGCATCTGCGTCCCGTCATCGTCGTCATTATTCGTAGTCAGCTACTAAACATTGTCGTACTTAAAGTTAACCACCATGCAATGCGCAATGTGCATCTACATCACCATCACCCCCAAAATATCGGTGTGCATGGGTGGTGGGTGCCTGCCTGTGCCTGCATGTTTACATATTCATATAGATCAATATATATCAAAAAACACATTATCGTCAACATAACTAACTCGCTATAACTCTTGGCTCTCGTATATAAACATCAACATAAACAAACAACACTCTAGCGCTTAACGAACTCCTTAAAGCCCTCATATCCGCTCGACTCTATGCTTTTATAATCGGATCTTAGTCTATATAAGTGGTGTGTGTATATATGTATACATATATATATATATATATATATATATTATATTTCGCTTCTTTTTGTTTATATCCAACTTTGTTCTAACTAAAAACTATACACCTTTGTCCGCTTCAGTTTGAACACCCTCATATCTCTCATCTCACATCTCATATCCCTACGATGCCAAATACCAAATGCTTTGCTCTCCGTCCTTGTCTAGCTGCTGGGATGTACGTTTGTACGTTCACCTGACCGTACATCGATGAGTGCATCCAAATAAAATTGCTTTGGACAATTTGCTACATTAAGTTGGCTGCTGCGGCTGCGTCAATATAAATTTTACTGTCTGTGTGGTCAAGTTTGTAGGTCCGTGGTTCCGTTTCCGTATCCGTTTCCTGTCGTTGTCAGTAGTGTTGTTGTAGTTGTTGCTGTGGCTGCTGCTGTTGTAGTAGTTGTTGATGTTGTGGTTGTTGCTGTTGCTGTTGTTACTGTGATGCATCATCAGTGCGGCGTCCTCTGTTGCGGCTGCTGATTTGTTGCTGCTGCTGCTGCTGCTCCAGTTGCTCCTGTTGTTGTTCTCGAGACCGGTCGGCATCGAACTCGAGGCGGCAGTGTCCAAGTTGTGGTGGCTGTTGGTCATAGAGATTCCTTGGAAGGTACCCAAATGGTTGGTCCCGACTGGGACCAAATCATAGATTTCACTTTGCTGTAGATCTCCTCGATGGTGTCGCCCTGGACAACGCCTGTTGGGATGGCAATTCAAAGGATTATCAGTGTGCTTTCAACATTTAAATAATATCTTCACTTACCCGTAAAGTATTCGCCAAATTCTTGCTCCATTTTAATGGCCCGCTCGTAAGTCTTCTTGGCCTGCTCCTCCGTCATGCGACGATTCATCTCCCTGTGGGTAATAAACCATTATTAGATGGGAATCTTCTACCGCTTGGTAAGTCCAAATTACTCACATCACTGAGTCCACCGACTTGGGTTTGATGAACACGGCAACGGGATACAGCTGGGCCACCTGGAGGCGCTTTATGGCATTCCCGGACACGTCCAGGATGCAGTGCTTGCCCTTCTCCGCCACCTCGCGCACACTGGCCACCGAGGTGCCGTACAGATTGTCGTTATACTGGCCCGCCTCGATGAACAGATGGTTCTGGATATCCCGCTCCATTTGCTCGCGAGAGGACACAAAGTGATAGTCCCTACCGTCCACCTCGTACTCCCTCTTGGGTCGGGTGGTGTCTACAGGAAAGGAAGATATATACATCAGTTGGTATTACAAAGAAACTTCGATAGATTGCACTACTTACGTGGCACACAAGAGCCGAACTTGTCGGGATACTCCGATATTAGGTCGTCGTTGATGCGATCCTTTAGCGGTCCCAGGATAATCACCGGGCGCGTGTAGTTAATGGACAGGCGCTGCACGGCCTCGTAGGACAACACATTCTCCTCGGAAGCTGGAAAGTAGGTTAAGCACTTGGATTAGGACCTTGGCGTGCAGGTGCTCTACGTCATCGCAAAGTGTTCTAAATGAGTGGGATTCGGAGGGGGGAAATGGGTTGGTGGGTGGGATTTCTATACAGAAATTATCTTGGGTTCTCGGGGGCGGGGGCTCTACAAAACAAATATCAATTTTCTAACTGGGTCATAAATATCAAAAGAGATCCTTATACAGATCCAGGCAAGTCAGTAAGAGTTAGAGTTGGTTAATTTCATCTAGTTAGCAGTTGCTCTCTACGATTTTAGGGATAATAGTGGGTAGAATTTGTATCTCTAAGTTAGGTTCGTTTAATTTAAGCTCTCGCACACAAGAATGTACAGAAAAATCTCAATTGATTATCTTTTTCTAAATGAATTTTGCAAAATAAAAGTTCGGGAAACCGGTAAATACTCGTCAACTTATATTTCACTTATCCAGCATTCACTGTTCTGGGCGGCAAACTTATAAATCGAGCAAAGGAAACATTCTAAGGCAATAAGATTCAATGTTCAATTAGGATTCCTAAGCATAAGTCACTTAAAACTTAAAGTATACAATGAAATGATACCAAACTTAAGATCGAAACCAAAAAACCAAATGTAAATGCAATAGGTGATATATGGTAACCAAAACTTCAACACTTATGTATGCAGTGGGCCATATACATATAGGATATAGAAATGATGGCTATGTAGACATATAGAGCAGGCGATCTACGAGCAAACAGTTAACAGACAGTGGGCACACTGGGTAGTGTCTTACATGGTAACATACTACATACATGACATCATGATCTTACATACATACATGGCACACAAAAACTTGGACAACATGAAATCAAAATCTGTGTGTTGATTGTGGTGAGTGAGTGTAGAATTATGTTCAGATCATTAGAACTAGCTTAGGTGATTATCTTGGCGTTGGATGAACCCAGCTATGGGGTTTTTCTTTTTTTTTCTTTGGCTGTTCCTCGTTACCAGGGGGATTGTGGGGTTTTACTCACTTGACGCCTTGTAGAACTCACAGATCAACTCTTTTTGGGACTCATTTACAGACACACGTACGTTGAGTGCTACGGGGTGGATTAACAACTGATCGATTAAGGCAAATAAAACTCCCTCGATTTGTACAATTCCTTTATTTCACTTTCAGTTTCAGTTTTGGTTTGATTTTGGTTTGGGTTTAGGTTTCATCTTAACCCGCAAATATTTCACAAATATCTCTGAACTTTAAGACGAAAGGTTTTTTTTGGGGGGGGGGACTTAATCTGGTATTTTCCTTCTTGAATAGAAACAATTTTTGCGGTGGTTCGGGTGGCGGGCACATGCAAAAAGACACGACACGACACGAGCAATACATAAAAAACAACAGCAAACCAACTGAATTGGAATCGGTTCAGTAATCTATATACATATCTATATATAGATGCGTGTCGGCAAGGTGGGTGTGTTCTAGCTAACTATGGAAAGGACTGGGACAAACAACTATCCAGGCAGAAGGACACAAAGAAATACAGTCTAGGCTCAGCACATTCGGGTGGGGGGTTCAGATCTTCGGATGATCCATGGGCCAACTTTTCTGTTATTGATCGGGTGATACTACGCAATGTGGCAACCAAATGAAGAAATAGGCAAACGATACAGGATGTGAGTGTGTCCGTTGTGTGTTTTTTGGTGGATTCACAAAATTTGCTATCATCATTCGATTCTACGCAACTATCAACAATTCACAACAGTTTAAGAACTTATAAACAAACCATAAGGTCTAAGATTCAAAATAAAATATATCGGGTTTGGGTTGTGTGTCCAGGAAGATATATGGATGGTTCTGAAGACAGTTTGTATGCATTATATGCATGGTCTTAAAAAATATATATATTTTAGTAACAACGAAATTTCTCTGCCAGTATAAAAAACATCGTTCTACTTGCAAGAAGAGAGAGTTCAAGGCTTATCCTAGTTAATACTCTGATATACGAAATGAAAATAACGAAAGAAAGTAAAAGAGTTAACAAAATCTACTGAAAGCCTTTCAGGAAGTTATCTTCAAAACGTATTCTCTAGGGACAAAACGCGATAGAGATAGATGTCTAGCAGAGAGAGAGAGAGAGAGACAGAGAGATGGAGTGAGACAGCATGAGTGAGAGACAAAGCAAGAGATAGGCAGAAATCAAGGAAAGAACGAAAAATATAACCAAGAGGAATTGATCTTGCAAAATTTTGTTTCTTTGTATTTATAACTAAATATTTAACTTTCATTCTTTCGTTTTTTTTTTAGGTAGAAGAAAACATAAGCTTTGTTGTAATTTTTACTAGTATTACAAAAAGAGAAGAGACTTGTTGCTTGTATTTTTTTTTTGTTGCTGTTGGTTTTTGTTTTGTTTTATTTTTTGTGATTGTTGGTTGTTCAGATGCTCGACTTACGATAGTCAGCATCATTATTCTCCAAGTAGATCAGAGTTATCTGCTCCATATCGGGTAACTCCACCCTGTAGATAATCTCGCCTGAGCAGTGATTAGTCGATAGTGTTGGTAGCGCAGATTTAGAAGAATTTAGTAGTTGGTTGTTGTCGCAGTTCGTGAGCGCATGGTTATAACAAATATATATGTATACATATAGAGATATATATCGGTGGTCATATTGTTGGTTTGATTTTTATCGGTTTGTTTTGGTTGGTTGTTTTGGTTTTGGTTTTGAGAAGTTAAATATTTATATATATAGCGAGATATATTGATATATGTGTGGCATGGGATTGTGTGTATTTAGAACAAGAGAGAAAATTTGTGAGTTTAACATAGGTTTACAAAGAACAAATCAAAGGATGTTTGTGTTTCGGTGCGGTTCCATCATAGATATATAGGTAATATATATTCGGAAACAGCGATAGAGAGATATGGAGTGACGTTGCGTTTGCGTTACGCACAGTTATAGATCGGTAGTAGATATAGTAGCAGACATAGTAGTAGAATAGTAGTAGATTCGAACGGAAGTAGTTGTTGATGTCGTTGTTGTTGAAGTAGTTGTTGTTGTTGTTGGTTGGTTGGTAGTAGTTGAGTAGTAGGCAAACAACACAAGAATTCAAAGTAGTTCACAGACACAGGGGTTAAATGTAAAAGAAGAACAAGAAAAATATCAAAGGATTAACAACAAATCGAAATCGAAATCACCATTTACTCATGTCTTGTACTGTCTGTCTGTGGCTGACTGAATAAAATACTTAAAAATGGAACTCGAAAAGGAAAATGGGGGAGTTGAGTTTGGTTGAGTTCCTTTTTGTGTACAAGTATGGGGATTATTATTCGTGTGCATCCCGAGTTGAGAATCGTCTGGGAAAAACTTTATTTCGGTTGGCTGTGGTGTATCTGTATGATGATCTGTTCAGTATTCACATCAAGTACGCCATTCCAGTTACATCTATATGTACATTATATATCGCATCGAGTGTGGCAACATTAAAACACGACGTGATACAAGCGGATAATAAAAGAACAGCAAGTTGAGATCGAAATGGTATAGTTTGATTTCTGTCTGCAATGTCCGTATACAAATTCTTTGTAATGTGAAGAACCAGGGAACCAGGGGATCCAGAGTTTTAACTTAAAAGGTGAACCGAAAAATCCTTAAGTACAGAGACCTTGTCCTTGAAAGATCATTGGCTGGATGTTAAGGAGATTTGATGTACAAATTTGATGTAGGTTTTGGAATCTATTCATATATATTTTATGCAAATCTGATGTACATCTGGCTTTACACCATTTTACGTAGTCTTTTTCAAATTTCCTTTATACATTTAGTGTACATTTAATGGACATTTACATGCATATGATATAGTTCTTTCGAAAGTTAAATTTGGACGATCCATTTATTTCCGCAAAAGTCTTGCGGATCGGTTGGGTATATAGAAAATATTGGGCTATATATATTTGGAGAGTCCTGACATGTATTTATAGCGATAGAGAGTGATGTACGAGCAGAGATCGCCAAAGACATGTGATGTACAGATAAATGAATGTAAATAAAAAGCATTTAGAACCCGGAAATTCTAACGGAACCAACAAAATATCAAATTACACTTAATAACGTGTGATGTCTTGATGTATGCATGTATGTAAACAGGTATGTTATGTATGTATATATGCAGGTAAGTGGTTAATCGTATGTGTTTCAGCTGAGACTGTGTTAGTTCTTACAGCAAATGCATTTCTATGAATGTAAATCGAAAGTTAGCACTTGATAAATGTTATGTTACGTCTGTTTTATGTTCAGTGGATATACTCAGATATAGATATATAGATAGATAGTTATGTATAAGTAGAGATATCGATATGTATATGTTGGTAGTTGGTAAATTCTTCTGATCGAGTACATACCTCCTTCAGCATTGGCATCGTCTTGTGTGTAGCAAAGCATAAAGGCTAGAAAACGAAGAGAAAACAAACGAGAAACCGAAAGGGAAGAGAAAAGAGAGAAAACAGAAAAGAAGAAATCGAAAGATATATGTTTTGGTCAGTTTAAAACAGAATAGCGGTGGAGATCGGTTCATTTGGGTGGACACAACATTATATGTATATTATTATATTTGGTTAAAAATGTTTAAAACTATCCTGAATGGTTCTTCCTACCCCGAACTACCGATAAGTAATCTATAGTCAAATCTCGAATTTAGTGTCCAATTTAAAAAAATCATTTACAAATGTTCAAAACTAGAAAACCCAACGTGAACATTTAATTTGGAAATACTATTTTCAACTGGTAACACACGGGTAACTTTGTAAGAACCATTCAGGATTTTCGAATGTCAGAGAAACCATCTTAAGGTTCCTTCTATTTCTGTATGTTTTATAGTTAGAACAAGATGGCAAGTAGTCAAAGGTTATTTTGCTGGTTTTTATAAAACTGTTTAGGGTCGTAGTGATGTAGATATTTGATGAAAGCAGCTGGACACAAAGTTTTTAGATTGATTTTTGACAGAGAGAAGAGCGATAAGAAGATTAATGTACTGTCAGTAGAGAGAAGCGGGAAGAAAAGCTTTTAAAATGAACTAAAGAACGAAATCAACTTGGTTTCATCTCGATGGGGCTGGTGATGATGTATCATATGATGTAGAACGTGCAACTCTGCCGCTGAAGAACCGTCTTCGGATACGTATACGTTTCTTGTTTCTTAGCTTAATCCAAGACTATATACACGATGATGGCCATGAGCTATAGAACTCCCCGCGAGGACTAACTGTTAGTAAGATCGTGTGACTATAGCTTACTGTCTAAAATGTGTACATATAAGTGTGTGTATTCGTTTACAGGTGTTGTGTGTGTGTGATTGTTAACCAAGACTAGACCATCTGAGAAGCCCTGACACCTTGATATACATTTACAAGCGGATAGATCGTGATATATATACCGCCGACTTCGGCTCCGTTTCGAAACATTTCCACCTGATAACGTCGTCGGCACTTACGTTGCGGTTCATTCGCCTGATTGTTGTTGACATTATTGATGTCAATTTCGCTGGTGCTGCTCACAACTCCATTGGCTAAACATATAGTTCGGGATCGGTTCGGATCGGATCGGATCGGGGCACACACAAGATAATACAACATCCAAGCACATCGAATGGGACAGGAAATGTGTGGTATTTTGTGTGAAGTTTCAGTGTGGTTGATTCGTCGGTTCATCGATGGATTCGTATAATGAGTGTTTGGACATCACGGGTTTCGGTGGGGAAAAATATATGGAAATAAACAGAAATGTAAATCAAATAAAATGCATAACAAAACATTTATAAAATGGAATGGAGCAATGGGTAAAACATCTCAACAAGAAACATTAAACAGAACATTTATCTCATTTATTTTTAACAAATAAAAAACATCAACTCAGAACAGGATGAATATACAAAAAAAATGGGACGTGAACAACTTTAAGCTTCTGATGACTATTCTTAACAAATATTTGATGTATGTAACATTAATTGTATCCTTTCATGCCCATAAGTAACAGTGGTATAAAAAAAAACAATAAATTAAGAATAAAATGATAAAATCTCGATGATATTTAAACATTCTTTAAAACACAGGTACATCTTAATACGGCATGAAAGGCTTAACTAAGAACAATCACCATTGCTAAAAAAGTAACAGGACAAGGACGTTGAGAATGAGGTTTTGTGCAAATTTTGGTGCTCTTCACGAAAGATGTGTGTCAACAACATATCTATCTTCTTATCGTAGTCAAAACAGGCACACTCTCAAGTCAATCGAACACCCGCCCAAAAGCACACACGCTCATCCATCCAGTCAGATATTCAGTAGAGAAAGCGACAGAGTGAAAGTCTTGGAGCCTTAAGCCTAGGACTAAACCAAAAACGCCTTGAGTTTGAGTTGCTTCTTGATGTTCTCCCATTATTGGCCATCTCCGGTGAAAGAGCAAACGATCGAGATCGAACTGTGACAAAGTCGGGCGGCTGGCTTCCCTTGGACTTGGTCTACTTACGCTCTTGGTCGCTGCCATCTTCATTCTTCTCATCGCGACTCTTCATAAACGGAAATTTGCGCGAGAATGTGAAATTCTTTTTCTTTCGATCCAATGTCGATTGCTGCAAGAAGAAAAAACCATATGATTAGTTAAGGATCTTGGAAAAAGCGTTCTAAGTTACGAAGTTTTACAATTATCAAGTAATGCAAAGACATTGTTATATCAAATGTCTACATATTATTATCGTTCAAGTAGTAATATCATATCAAACATTTACAAAAGTTACCTAAAATGTACAGGGAAATATAGTTAAATAGAAACAGGATAATATAGAAGGCATACTGAACTGTAGAACTGGTTTCAAACTTTACAATGTATACGATTTAAAGTTACTGAAGTTATTGACAAAATTCCTATATAGCGGCTTTGAATGCTTTCCTGGTTTGTATAACCCCACCCACCTTATCCAGATTATTATTAGCTGCCGCATGTCCCTGGAACTTGACGCTGCGATCCCGAGCCCGCATCTTGCGCTCCCAACGCCTCTTCGACGGCACAATACCGATCTGCTCGTCCTCATTGTCGCCGAGGACCCGTCGTGCCTGCCACCACTCGTCGTCGGAGGCATTGGTCACGTGCAGGATGTCGCCGTGCTTGAAGGGCAATCCTCGCGAGGGCAGACCATCGTCCCGATTGGGATCATAGTCGAACAGGGCGCGCACATACAGCGATCTCTTCTGCGTGGTCCGCAGCAGTGTGCCCGATCCTCCGGCGCCAAGGGCAGCCTGCTGTTTCAGCTCCTGGATGCGCGCCTCGAAGCGGTTATACTCCTCTGGGCGGTACTGCGCCAATAGGGTCACCACACCGCCAGAAGTCTGGGGAATAATAAAGGTATTATAATTGGGCAATCCAAATGGAAGATCTTATAGACTCTCACCTTGAGCGCCTGGGCCGCCTCCTCGTGGGTGGCATGCGTGAGGTTGACATTGTTCACGCTGAGCAGCTGGTCGCCGCGCTTCAGCTCGGAGCCAAGATCTGCAGGACCGCCGGCCAGGATGAAGGACACATAGATGCCCTGGCCATCCTCGCCGCCAACGATATTGAAGCCCAGGCCCTGGGGTCCCTTCTGGATGGTGATGGTGCGCGGTTCTCTGTGGGGGGAAAAAGGCTTTATAATAACCAAATAACTAGAGAAGTGACCTGTACACTCACCTGGTGATATCCTCGGTGCTGACTGCGCGCGGAGTTCCTGGCGGAACGGCGGCCAGGACATTTGTGGAGGCATATCGCGAGCCGGGCTCTAGGTTGTTATCAGAAATTTGTGATTTTGATTTAGGTTTATCGTTGGTTTTTTGATTTTTGTTTTGTTGCACATTGAATGGGAATAATTATTGAGACATGACAGAGATAGACAGATAGATAAAGAACGAGATAGAGAGACAGAGACAGAGAGAGATAGAGATATAGAGCGGTTAATAATGCTTTGAGAAATATAATGATCTCTTGCGGATTCAGCGCGTCCAGAGGAGTCCAGACAGAGACAGATAAACGCAAAAGGGACAGAGACAGCAGGCACCGCCGAGAAAGAGAAAGAAACTGGTTAACGAAAAAAAGACTGCGACAATAACTGAGGCCAACGGAAACCGAAACGGAAACGGAAGACAACAGAACGGAAACTGAAGATTGCATTTGATTTTCGTCCCCCCCACAACACAAACACACACTATACACACAGGCATACACGATCCCAGGCACACCAATAACGCTTATTAACACCTTAATATACAGCACAACAAATCAACAGAGATCGGGGGGGATCAGATATAGTGGTCTGATCCAGAACACAACTCTAGGACAGGCACAACTCTAGTGGGCGGGTTGTTCAAATCAACAGCATGGCGGTGAGGAGACTACAGGGGAAGGCGGGAGCAGCTTCCAGCGTGTGAGAATGAAAGTGATCCCAATCTAGGGCCTCAAGTTAATTGGCACAGCAGCAATAGCAATACGTAGGATAAATTGTTTGCCGGAAAAGGAGGGAAATATTGGAGGGAATATATATGTGGAGGGATACAAATAAGGCATGAAACCTTTCTTAAGTGCCTTTACTTGAAAGAATCCTATAAACGCACTTAAAAAGGTCAAAAATATATACACAAAATGATTATCATAACAAAAACAATACTAATAAAGAGCTTAATTTGTATTTAAATACAGAATTCTATGAGTGAAATAGGGTTTCAAATGATAAACCTCTCAATTATTCTGGGATTCAGAGAAGGATTTAAAGAAAATAAAATGAATCAAGTTATGAAAGCAGAAAGTATTGTTATGGGGAAAGTAAAGGCTAAAATAAAAAGGGAAAATATACAACTATAGAATACAGGAAAAAAAGATATATGATGGATATTCAAATAATAATAATCATAAAATCGTATTAGTAAAGATGTTATAGAAAAGAAAGAAAGGAAACAAAGAACGATGATGGGAACCTGGCACAAGTGCATTTATTCGAGGAGGTCGCAGGACCTCCGATAAACACCCTCGACCGGGACATTGATGAGCATATATACATATTAATTACAAAAGAAGATCGGTCAAATAATAAACAAATCAATCGCTTACGGCGCGGCTGGGGTGATTGGGATCGGTTGTTTGTTTGATTGGATTCGACAGGCAGGGCGGGCATGGAAGCATTGTTATAGAAGGAGGCGGGTGGAGTTGCTGCTGCTGCTGTTGGTGTTGCAGCTGCAACTGCAACAGTTGCCGTCGTGCTGCTGCTACTGTTGTTGTTGTTGATGTTATTGCTGTTGCTGATGTTATTGCTGTTGCTATTGCTAATGCTGTTAGCGCCAAGCGATGGCGGCAACTTGCTGCTACTGTTGGTGGCTGTGGCTGTGGCCGTGACTGTGGTGACTGTGGTGTTGCTTGCAATGACTGATGCAGTGGCAGATGCAGATGCAATTGCTGCTGCTGCTGCTTGTGGTGTTGGTGGTGAATCGACAACCGTGTGTCCCACACTGTTTAGCGCACCTGTCGACTGCGAATTGACCATCGGCGTCGGATGCTGCTGCTGATGCACCTGACTCTGGCTCTGGCTGGTGGCCAACTGCGACTGCGACTGCGACAACTGCTGGCCGGCTGATAGGCCTCCACCGCCGCCGCCGGACGCACTGGTTGTCAGGTGCTGCGTCTTCCCAATGATCAGCGTCACCTTGTCGGTGATCGACTTCAGCGTGGCCACTGCCAGTTCGTGCGTTACGTTCTCCAGGTTCTTTTCGCTCTATATCGGGGACACAATAAAAATCGAATTAGATAAAGGTTTATAAATAGATACAGCTTAGTAACTACTCTTATTAAGAGACTACACCCACCCCGTTGGTGCGCACTGCAATCAGCTTGTCCCCGATGGACAGACGTCCGTCCACCTGCGCCGCACCGCCGTCCATCAACTTGGTCACATAGATGCCATTGTCGCCGGGGATGTGCTGGTTGCCAATGCCGCCGGCAATGGAGAAGCCCAATCCCTTGCCGCCCTTGACCAGATCGATTTCCATGATCTTCGATCCACCGGCCGCACTATCCCGGGCATCTCCAGCCGCCGATCCGGCGGCCGGGGTGGTGGCCGTGCCACGTTTCCGCTTCACATGCAGTTTGACCACATTGCCGGCCTTCTTCAGAGCATCCACGGCGGAGGCATGTGGCACATCCACCACGGACACCTCGTTCACGGACACAATGATGTCGTTGATGCTCAGCCGTCCATCGGCGGCAGCTGCTCCGCCGGAAATGAGCTTGGTGATGTAGATGGAGGTGTCGGTGCCGATGTGCGGATTATCCGTGCCGCCGGCAATGGAGAATCCCAATCCGGAGTTGCCGCGCTCCAGCTGAATGTCCTCGTATAACCAGCTATCATCGCCGTTCACCTGGAGAGGATTGGAGATTATAAGTATGGTTCATTACAAGTTCAAGGGTTTAAAAATGATCACACAAAGGCCACAACGTTGTATTTAAAATGGTTTGGTAGGTGTTTTAGTGTTTTATGAAGTGATGAATGTAATGAATAGTGTATTAATGTGTAAAATGAGCCCACAAGTGGGTAACATGATTAGCAAATCACGGTATCATTGTTATGTAGAATATCAACTAAATTCACAATATTAATTACAAATATAATCTTAAACATGTCCGTTTTCTTTAAGATTTTGTATGTATATCATTATCGGATTATGTATGATCGTACATTATATTGGGGATATGTGGCTTTTAGTTGAATTCCAGCAATATAAATGAAATGGGCTTTTATAAGGAAACTTTCTTTATAAACAAACACCTATTGTAAAAACAAAGACATTTATTTGGGCATTGGGTTTGGTTTTGATTGTCAGAAATATACCAAAATCCGCGCTAAAACATATTCTTACAATCTATTATACAATTTTAATGAGATGCAGTATATGACCTTCACAGCTTTTCAGTGATTTATGACGTCATAGCATGGATAATTCAGTTAGGCGGCGAATACATAAAACAACATGAACAAAGACGAACACACGACGATCACACAAGTGATGCAAATGCAGTTAAAACGAAGACAAACAACGTTGATTTGTAGACTGTTTCCATTTTCGATTCATACCACTTTTAGAGGAAATTTTGGAGTCCAAAAAAAAATTTTATAATATTTAAAATCATTTAATAAAAAGGTATTATTGAAAGACAAAAAGACAAAAGTTCGTATAAGTGAGTTCTATGTAAAATTCAATCTTATCTTCAAATTAAAAAACTTATAAATTTTAAGGAAATGTAAAGATTTATTGGAAATGTGTTGTCTTTAAATATTTGTTTGAAACTATGGACACCGCATCCTAAAACCAAGTAGAAATCGAAAATGGCAACAGGATGGATTATAATCTTTTCTGGTTTTGGTCCCATCTGGGGGCTTACCTTTCCCGACGACGCCTTATGGAGCTGGAGTAGAAGGTGATGAAAGTGAAAGAGGAAAGTTTAGAGAGGATCCGATCCATTCAGTGATTCAGTGACTAATAAATATTAATATTAACCCTCCAAAGGCCCCGGGGGGCGCACCCTCGCCGGAGATGGAAAATCGTGTCAATGGCGACTCTTGAAATATCTTGAATTATCTGGGCCGTAGCCAAAACTCTCGTTGCAATTAACAGGCGACCAAAAAATGAAAAAACCAACAACAGTCCGCTAAAAATGGCAACAAAAACAACAGCTTGCACAACTTAAAGCGATCTTGGTGGGTTAAGAGGCTGAGGGGGTGAGGGGTTAAGGCATCGTTAAACGAGTTCAATTGATTAGCAGCCCAGTGTAAATGAATTCATCAAGCGCCGACGACAGCAACATTAACCCTAAGAAAATATGTGCAGTGAAAAAGTGGGCGTCGCTCTCCCCCATTTTAACCCCCCACAGCCCCCATTTCCATATATCTATATGTTTATGGCTATATCGGACGCTCCATTCTAGCGAAAAATTGCCAATTAACCCTGGGAGTGGGTCAAGTCAAGTATACGCCTAGGGAACTTAAGTAGGCGGGCTAAAAATATTAATATGCTCTTTGGGTTAATCGCTGGAGGATACTCAGCGACTACAGTGGTGACTGGATAAATGGGATTGTTTTTGGCTAAGGAATCATTGTTTAATTTTCTTTCATAACGTAGTCTTGAAGAAATCTAACTTTTATACTAAGCTATACAAATTTTCATGACATTTTACTAACAAATTTGCTATTATACCACCAAAAACTATTTTTCTTGTGAATATATAATAAATATATGAATAATAACTAATAAAAACTATTATTTTTGCTTAAGAGTGATGTATTATTTAAATATTTTAGGTATATGTTGTATTGAATGGCACATTTACTTCTAAATCCTAGAAAGGATGTTTAAAATATTTTTAATATATCATGGAATCCCCAAAAAAAAACCCGACCTTAAGACTGGCTTAAAGAACTGGTCTTAGTAGAGCCAGTAAAACAACAACTTGATAAATGCTATTTTATTGCCATAATTACATATGGGACGTGCTACATCTTTGAGAAGCCATTAGCGAGCCAACACTGTACAGGGCACTTAGGCTAACAGGTTCGTGCCGCTTTTGCTTCCGCTGACAACTCTGGTTACACTTTTTCCAACCCAAAAAGAATTATAAAAAGAAGAAAAATTACATCATAAAGTTAACAATCGGAACTCACTTAATAGGAGCGGGCGTGTTTTTCGGGCGGTAAAGAGGGGGTTAAAAATGTGGCGGGGTGTTGGGACAAGCACAAGACTTTGAGCCAACTAAACCTCAAGTAAAAAACAAAAAAACCACAACAACAGCACGCTATATTAACGGGGCCAACGAGCTACAATCGGTTTTTTTTCAGCCTCTGCTTTTTTGTTTGTAGTTCTTGTTTTTTTTCCTTTTTTTTTGTAAAGTTGCACACCCTTGAAATTAGTAGCTGGCACTAAAGCCAAAGCTAGAAGCCAAATCATATCATATATAGAGCGCTTATCTTATCTATGATAAACATATGCTTTGGGGGCCACAAGCACACTGGAAATGCGGAAAATTGAACCGCAGACGATAAAATTCTTAAGCTTTTGTGTAAGAAAAGCGAAATTCCAATGCACAATTGGATATTGTTATTGAGAGTATAAAGATGCCATTAAGTCGGCCCTTCAGAAGCCTCAAATCAAATGAGTCATTAAATTATACTCGATTTCAAGTACTGATTTGATTATTCGCTTTGCATGCAAGGCGAGGAAATGAAATTTAATACGCAATGCACTAGTATAAATCTGTAAACAATGACTGCCTTCAACAGATACAAATTAACGTAGATAAATATATGTATAACCAACTTTTCTAGAACTCAACTAATAGGAAAAATGGAAAATTGAATGAAAACACATTTAGAATATATAATCACCCAAATATATAGCTAAAAAAACGTATTATTTTTAGTAAGCAGAGAAAAAAAAGATCAAAAAGACTATGAACACAAAAGAGCCAATTATTCAAGATAAACAAATATGACTCATGGGAAAATTGCTCGAGATATCATGCCAAAGAAGTCAAGATTATATTGATAGGCAGTAATGGGCCATACGGAGATTACTAAGATTTACTGAACATAAGCCAAGCTAACCTTTGCAATAACTTATTTATATAACTTATTAATAAATCCATAGCTGAACAGGGCCAATGAGAAATTTGAATGCGTCAAGCTGCGTTGCACTTCATTGATCAAATCGAATATAGAAATGTTGGCAAAGTGCCCGGGGGTTTACTATATGAGATCGGACGTACGATGGACGGACGTGACGATGATCGTGGTCGAGACACCTGCGAGAAACGAAACCGAAACGGAAACCCAAAGCCATTATTCCATATTCCGCCCCAGAGGGGGTGGGAAGTACTAAAATTATGGTTCAATATGTAAACTTGTCCTTCGGATTCATTGGTTGCCAGCCACTGTCGACAGACGCGTGATTTGTTTTCAAGTTTTTACGAAAAATGTACAGATCCATAAGGTTAAGCGCCTTGGTTTTTACAGTGGATATTGGGGGATGTTAGATGTCTTATGTGGCAGTTCTTGTAAACTTGTTTAAGTATTTTAAGGTCAAAGATACTAGTAATTTTGGGAGTGAGATTATTTTTACCATACTATATGCAGGAAATAAAAGTAATATATTTAAACCTATCACTTTTAAGATCAATACAATATATGTTGGCCAAAAGATACTGGTTTTTTAAAGAGTGGCATTATTTTTAAGTGATTTTATGATGCTATTCTATACCATCATTTCATGAATAAAAGTAACATTTTTAAATCTACTATTATAAGGTTCGATAAAAAGAACACTTTTTTAAAAAGCGATAAATCTCCTTCTCCATTATTAGAATGTTTTTTGCAACATAAATATCTACCGTTCCCATTTAGCCAATATTCACTGTAAATTCCTTTGTTTTGTGGGTGGCAAACGGACTCGAAGATAAAACTATTTCTGGCAAAAAACGAGCGAGAGGCAAGATCAAATTGGGGACAACAACAACAAGTGCAGTGGCTACGCCTGCGCTGAATATTAAGGGCACCACCAGCAACAACAACAACATCAAGAGCAACAACAGCAGAAGAAGAAAATAACAACAAAAGAAGAACCGTTGGTCGAGGCATTAGAAAGAGACGAGTCTTTCTATTTTTCTTTTTTTTTCGCTGCGAACGCAACGCAAAGACGCTAAAACGATGACAACGCACCCAGTTGAGTGAGTGTGAGTGTGCGCACAGTGACGGGCAAACGAATAGGAACATTGATTCAGTCACATATTCGATAAAAATATTAATATAATTTATGATAAAAAAAACTGGCCTAAAATAATTTAAATACATTTTCTCGTAACTGAATTATGAAATTAACCAATAGGAAATTTATTAAAGATTTAAAAACAATCGATTTTTAAATATATGTTTTAAAACAAAATATTTTGAAATAGTACATATATCAGGTATTTCTCTGCAATAGGTAGGTTTGAAATATAGCAAGTAATTTCCTTTTTTAAAAAATACAAATTGCACACTTCGTGGTGATCCCTTTTTGATTAAATTTGCCAAAATACGCAATGCAGAATACTCATTTCAGGGGTAAACAACGCCCCGCATCAAGTGTAAACAAATAGTAAAATGCTTAGCTAAACCGTAAACAAACAAACTTTTTGATGACTCTGGCCTGGCCACTTGGAATCGAATCCACTTAGGCGGAAGTAATAAAAGTAATTTTGGCATTACAATTTTGCCCGCAGCTGTGCGCACACTTGTATATGGCTTTTTTTTTTTGAATCGAGGAAAATCGGCTAGCTTTCAGTCTGTCTGCGAATTTGATTTAAAAATAAACCATGGAATCATCGCACACTATATAGAGCGCTGATGCCCAGCTTTTCCACATCCCACAAGATACTGGGGTGGCCATATAGAGCTAATGGATAATGGATAGTACTCCGATTTTTACCGAATCCAGGTTGAAGAGCGACGAAACTTTCTTGATGAATCCGCCGCCACTGCCGCCGCCGTCGCGCTTCTTTTTCCTGGTTGTCATCGTCGCTTCGGCTCTTATTTAATTATTTTATTTATTTATAGCAATTATTATTTTGTATAATTATTCTTGTGGGCAGTTCAAGGGTTAAAGAGTTGTTCCAGCCACACACAAGCACACCAACACACGGACAAAAGCCGGCGCTGCTGCTTCTTCTTCCCCGCTTCGTTTCGTTACTATTGTATTGTATTTTTTTTAGTTGCCGCCTGTGATTATCCAACTCTTTGCACTAGATAAACAAAAATGCACACATTTCGAACTTAGCGGTTTGCCTTTAATACATAGGTATATTTAAATCGCACGCACGGGCGTGTTGTTTGTGTTTTAGCGATCGGGGAACTGAAAAGAGGCCGCCGAAACAACAAACACAACACAGTAGGAAAAAAAACACAGTGCGAGAGAGGGAGAGCGAATTTTTTTCGGTATACTTTGCTGGCATTTCTCCCCCTCCGTTTCGATCGATAGGCGGCCTATCGTTATCGCTCGCGCTGGCAATGCTCGCTCCCTTTCCCACACTCCAGTTATATACTTCTCCGCCGACGGCAGTGCCCAATGACTCATGAACAGTTCACGCAAATTGATATACTTGTGTTCACATTTCCGTTGCACGAAACCAAACAAACAAACAAAAAAATAATTAAACCGAACGCGACGAAAACAACACACCCAAACTAATCGATTTTTGCAGCTCGATAGCGGGACTATCGATGAGTGACAGTGTGACCGTTCAGTGATCTTCGAACGATACCAAAAAATACTGACACCAAAATCCCTGCTCAAATATACTAAATAGTAAGGGTATTCCAAAAATATCAAATTAAAGATATTTTATATAATACTCCAGATTGGATGAACTTTTGATATATTGCAAAAATAGTTACCAATTCTAAAGAGTGTGGAAAAAAATAATCACAGGTTGATACTGTAAAAACAGGTTTTCAAAAAATAATACAAATAAATACAAACCATAAATCATCAAAGCAATAAAAACAAACAAACATGTCAAAAAAGAAGCGCAAAATGTATGTATATATTTTTTAAGGTTTTCACATGGTATGTTTCTTAAATTAAAATAAAATTTTATTTGGCAACTAAAAGCATTAACACAACCAAATCATGCATAAATCTTAGGCTAAAACTATAACTTAATTTGATCAAATGTCTTTTTTACAATGTTTCTTTTTTCTTTGTTTCTAAACACAAATCAAACGGAATCATGCACTAAAAACTTAGTATAAACATCGTTAGCTTTAATGTAAAGAAAATGTGTAACGCCTGTTGGCAATTTTCCCGTTTTCATTTATATTTTCCTTTTGCAGGCCACGTTAGCTACAACGAGCAACAACAACGCGCCGGAAACGGAAATGGGCGACGCTTGCCCCACAAAAGCGAGGAGGCCGAGCGCCTTAACCGCCTTAAGTAAGTAACGATTCGTTAAAAAGGCAGCAAAATGGGGGAAAAAGGCGGATAAGTAGAGGGGGCGGTAAGGTATAGAACAGGCGTGCTCCCAATGGCTTTGCCATTGGCGATTTAAAACTGTGGGCGTTCGAGCCCTATGCACTAAATGAATAATTAAGGTAAAAATGCGGTTGCATTTGTAATTTGACTTAAACAATGGAATCGAATACAAATTACATCACTTTTGTTGTCTGAATATTAAATATAATCTATAATTTGAATCGATTTGTAGCAAAAAACTAGAGCAGTGCACATATGATACGGATATGGAATGATTGAAAGTATTATCCGGGTTCTGATTATCTTCTTTATTAATTTTTATAAAATAAAAACGCATCAAGCATTAACTTTTCAATTATTTTAAAAAATATTTCAAGGAATTTTAAATTGTAGTTCGTACTGCTGAAAACCTATTCTATGAACTTCATCTTAATCTCAAAACTTATGTAGGCCACTTAAAAAAAAGTGCCATAATAATTGTTAACGTTAAACGTATGCATTTTAAACGAATTGCTTTGTGAACTTAATTGATTAATTATTGCTAAGAGCTTCTTAATTTGTTTGTGAAATCGCCAAATTAGGTGAAAATGGGAGCCGCCTTGGAACTGCGAACTAATGAATTCTTTGAGCAGGGGGCTAATTACATGGCCGACTGTTTCCACTTTCCCGGCAAGTTCTTGAGTTGGTGTTTCGGCCCTCGAGGACTTTTCCCAGCCGGAAAATGTGGGGAAAACTAGGACTCAAAAGCGCGCTTTAGCATTTTGGCTGGATTGCCGTTGTTAAGGCGAAGTTGGTAATGGTGTTGGTGTTGGCTTTGATGTTGGTTTTGATGTTGATGGAGGCTTACGAGGATTCGCTTGCGCTGGTGTGCGTGCTGGTGTATCTGTGTGAGTGACTGTATCTGAATCTGTGATTTTTGGCATGGATTTTCAGCTGAGGCCGTTGGCACAAATGATTAAATTGCCAAAACTTACAGTCTGCGACCCGCTCCTTGACTTGGCTGCCTGCGACTGCTGTTGCTGCTGCTGTTGCGGCTGCTGCGCATTCTGATGTTGCAGCTGCTCGGCCGGTGGCTCCTTTGCATTTTCCGTATCCGACTCGATGCGCATGCGCTGATTCTGCGGAAGAAAACCGAAAGGAAAGCGATCAGGATTAAGATCTTGGGTTTAAAACTTGCATGTATATGTCTTTAAGCCTCCTTGACAGTTCTCAGCCCCAAGAAAGAAGTTATAGCCTACTTATATGCTAAACATTTTTATGAAAATATCCTTTACTTACTAAAATGGTAAAGTTTTCAATGCTAAAAATTCTTAGAAAGTTGAGAATATGTAGAGAAAAATGTTCAAGAAAGAAGTTTTTTGGTTGTTTTACACATTTTTTAGGCACTTATACTTTAAAGTATAATAAGTAATCTTGTGATCGATCAAAGTAAATATTAAACCTTATATCGATAGGTTTATTAACCATTATTAACACCCATTTTTTAGAAGTTTATTATCACACTTTAATAGAACCAATTTAATCGATAAATATATTTGATATCGGTTTCAATATCGATGTTTATTTTGTAATCCTTTATCGATGCTTTTGTCACGAGGCTCCCCCGCCCCCCGATTCATTTTCCTCGTCCCTCTTCTTCTTTAACCATATTTAACACCCACTTCTAAGAAGCTTATTATTATACCTTTACAGAACTTATTAAACCTTTAAATATATCGGTTTTTTATATCGATGTTATTCTTTATCGACCCTTTATCGATCCTTTATCGATGCTTATGTCTTTTTTCCACTTACATTGGCACAACAGCAGGCGTAACGCGAAGCTCCCCCACCCCCTGATTCGCTGTCCTTGTCTTTCTCCTTTTCTTTTTCCTTTTTCTGGCGATCCCTGGATTGATGTTGATCCTGATGATGTTGCTGTTGTTGTTGTTGCTGCTGCTGCTGCGGAGGCGCCGTCAGTTGACGTCGACGTCGACGCATTCGCACCGGTGACCGCGAGCCAACATAATTTGAAAAGCGGCGCCTGGAATGCCGCACTATCGACACCCAGTCAATCATTTCTCACAGTGCAGTATCTCAGTCTCCCCGCGATTATTTTATTTAAATAAAATAAAGCTCTGGTTTTTTTCAATCGGTGGGTTTCTCTTGAATTTCAGTTTTTCACTTAGTGCGTTTCATTTTATCTTTAAAAACAAAAATATTTAACAAATAATATAAACAGTTAGCACCTAAATGTGTTCACAATTCGCTAATTTGGTTTACTCCACTTTTTAAGAAAATAATAACATGTGTAAATAACATTCAAACCTAATTAACTTCAAGTATTTCTTTGGTGTGCAGAAGTCACCACTTGAATATTAAGAAGACAACATCGGGAGCACAATGTGATGACAAATATGCCTTTGATGAGTTGCGATAGCAACAAGTTGGGTGCAAACAGCCGGAAAAGCGGAAAAGCTGAAACGAATGGGATTGAAATCGGCACCCTCGCTGTCTTTGTTTGTTTTTCGCCGGTTACACACACAAAAACAGAAGAATATTTGTGCCACTCACAAATAAATAAAAGATGTATGCCTCTACTTTTTGGTTGTCACTAAAATAAATAATACTGGCAATTATTTAACCGGAATAAACCAATTCCGGTTGGTAACATATATAGATACAAGATCTTCAAATTTCAATGAATCATTAATCATTGCTTTATATTCCATGGAACTTGTTTATTTGGTTTGCATTGGGAGATCTTTGATTTGTGAGCACTTTGCCAAAACCAATATTTACGATTGCAATTTGATTATTTATGATTTGCTATTACTTGAGTTTTGATATTTTTTGAAATTATTTGTTGGGATAAAAGGGATTACGCATTTATTTTAAAACCTGAAATATTGCGTTTATTCTTTGAGTGACTACTGTTTTCATTGTTTTCTCGCTGAGAGTTCGTTTTGGCGTCAGATCTTTATAGAGTGTGTGCCAAGGTCCCGAAAACCGAATGCCGAATACTTTTTGTTTACAGTCGGTGCGGCGAAACATGTGTTCTCATGTGCGGATGTTCTAAATTTGAAAGACTCCTGTTGCCGTACGAAATTTCTCTCGAAATTAGCAGCGGAAAATCGAAAATCCAAACGCTATTTGGCATGAAAGAAACGCAAGAAAAGCCAAACGTTGCGAGCTGCCAAAATAAATAGATTGATATATTGCTCGTCTCGATTATGTTGATTTTCTTGTTGCTTCAACGATGTTTTCCAATGCCAGACGGCCATGAATGAAAAACTCAGCGAGAGACAGAGGAAAAGCGGAAAATAGCAGGGAAAGCCAAAGGACTGAATGTGTTCACATGTTATCGTATATTAATCTTCTTCTAAACTTTTGATTGTTTTACTTTTCACTTACAATATAAAAATAAAATGATTTTTCTTCTTATCAACACAAAAAACTATTTTTTTATTTATAAATCTCATTGGTTAATTGAAAAAAGTATTAAATATGTTAACCTTTTCCCTTTTTATATTTAAAAACAATTTTTTTAAAGTGTTTTTTAAAATGTAATATTTAGAATACAATTTTTGCTACAACAGTAACTTGAAAACTAAACATTTTCATTGGAAACAAGAGTTTTTCCCTCACAATTTCCGTAATTTCCTTCGGAATTTGCCACTATGCCACTAAACGTGTCAACCATATGTTGTGAATTATCACGATTTCCAACAATTAATTAAAGTAATGGCTCAATTAACTGCTGTGCAGGTTTAATCACTTTTAATTTGCGCCACCTGGTGGTGGTTTTAATTGGTGAGCGATTGCTGTGAGGCACGTGGGGCGTATACGTAATATTTGGAAGCCTGCCTGTTGTTCATCCGCCCCGTAGTTCACCTGCCACCTTGTAATGCCTCAATGCCTCAAACTTTGTCTTGTTTTTTGCTGCTAGTCTTTTCGTTATTTTTTTTCATTTGTTTTCCTACTTGATGTGTACATTCTGTCTTACAAATTATGTAAAATGTTTGTTTTTTGGCGCCAATGCAGATGAGTGATGGACACGCATGTGTCAGAGTTACACAAAAAAAAAGAGGAAAAAAATAGAAACCGGCCAACGACTGATAACAACATTAAGGAAGTTCGGAAATATGGAGGAAAAACACGGTATAGGTCACACAGAAAAAAATTAAAAAACTATATCTTAATGTTTGAATGATAAGAAGTAATATTTTCCATAAAAAACCCGGCAGTATTTAACTTCTTTTAAATTGTCTTAAATATTTTTTGGCAATGATTTTCATATACAAATATTTCTTTTAATATAACGATTAACATTTTAAAGCAACAAATACTAATAATTGTCTTTCTTAATATTTTTTATCAGTTAAATATTCTTAGGGATATCTTTTTATTGCCAATTTACATTCTGTATAGATTCCCTTTTTATATATTACTTTAAGAATTACTGATAAAAGATACACTTTTAAAACATAATCCTATAAACTTTGACTATCAAATTAACTTAAGGGAATTTTTTAAAATATTTTAAGATTGTTTTTGAAGTATTTGTATTTTGAAAACAAACAAAAATCAGGCGAATTGTGAACCACAAGTGTTGAGTGCTCTATTTATTTGTTGTTGTGTCCCTCTGCACGCTTAACGAGGGTTAAACAGCGACTGGGGGTTAAAGGGCATTCCCCGCACCCACGCACACCCTACACACGCACACACACACACATTGAAAGGTAGACAGACACGCGCCGCTATGCAAAATTGTTGTGCGACTCGACGCGTCAACGGCACGACTGTTACTACCGCCTTTGCCGTTCCGTTTGCCGCTGCCGTTTTTCCTTTGCCATACGGCATACGGCACACACCCACCCACCCCCCGGAATTACCACCCATCACCACCCACCGCCCACCACCCCCGATGGGGCATACCAACCCACACCAGAACACACCAGACCCGCCAGGTCCATGTCCGTTCGCCAAAAACCGAGAGCGTTCGTGTGTTACCGCCTCTGTCGACGTCGCCGTCGCTGTTGGCGTCGCTGCCTCGGCCCGGCCAAACAAAAAAAAAATTCAACAACAAAAAATAAAATGCTGGCTACAAAATACGGAGAGCGACAAAAAAAAATAAGTAATGGGAACCTTGGGCAATCGTTCATTGGTTAGCAACTGATAACAAACATTTGTCGGCCTGCCGGCAGCATCCTTCAAGCCAAAGACGGATTTTTAGATGAAGTACAGTGATACCTCGTTGTTGGAAAAATAAAAGAAATTTCTTAAGCCTGTAGTACATATAAATTTTTTAACAAGTTAAAAAAAATAGGGCATCCTTTTTTTTTGGTAATGAATAACTTTAAGTTATAAGTATAATAAATTATTTAAAATATTCTTACAAGTTTGAATATCTTTGATTTTTTTTTATCTCTGCATAAAAATATAATCCTTTAATAAATTAACTTTTTTTTAGTCTTAAGTATGTTGGAACTTTGTTTAAAAAAGAGTTCAATAGAGTTAAGGAAGATATTAAGGGAAGGAATCTTAAGCTTCAATGTTTTTTTTGTCCTCTGCATCAAGAGAGAATCCTACAAAAAAAAATTTTTTTTTTAATCTCAAATGTGTTAGAACTTTTATTAATAAATATAAAGTTAACAGAGATAGCTAGGGAAGCCATTTATTTTGCCATTTATCATCGGATTTCTTGACTAAAAAAAATAAAAGCCTACTTTTAGGCACCTTTACAAGTGATTTAAAGTCCCGAAAGGTATATACCATTTATACATGATAAAATAAAAAAAAAGGGGTTTACCAACAGCCAGGACCCACTGTAGCCGTCACCAGTTTACCGTTCGTCTGCCGCCCATCGTTTACCGTTGGCCGATTTGTGACGTACCACCGTTCCGCTATTTCGCCGTTCCGATGAGCGTTGAACGGTTGCACGATTTCACGATTTCTGAATTTCACGACTCGACGACTTGACGACCCTCCGATTTTTAGTACGCATGTCCCAGGCGACAAACAACAAGAAGCAAAAACAAAAAAAGTGGGCGCGAAAGGACAACAAACAAAGTAAATTGCCGAGCGGCCACCGAGTGCAAGCGAGATGGCAGCAGTCGGTGAGAGCGGGACGGCAGCAGTCGGAGAAAGCGAAAGGTTGGAAATCTGAGCCTTTGTGTCTGCTCCTGCTTTTCTTTTTAATGTGTAGGTATAGTATAGCGACATCAATCACCTTAAACCGTAACGCTAGAGATTCGACATTGGAATACCCCTTAATATTATTATAGGTCTAAATTTTCAGCATTGGAATGGAACCTAAATATGCGATCCCAACGAGCATAACAATCATAAGACTTAAAGGAGTAATTTATAAAGAATTTAATAAAAAGTCCTTAAAAGTGTCTTAAAAGGATGTATCTTAGCTGGATTTTTCTGGTTGTAGTTGCTTTATATTTTAAACTTTAATTTAAAAAATGTTTTTTCATAATTAAACCATTTTTAAAAACCTGTCAATCTTATTTGGTTTATCTTTTTTTTAATATTTAAAGAATTTTATATAAAAAATATTGTGTTCTGATATCTTGTTATTTTTCTAAATACTTCAAACAGTTAATTTTAATTTGTAAAAAAAATTATATTACTCTTAAAAAAATATTTAATTGTATTAAAGTTTTTCATAATATGTTTAACGACCAATTTTTTTAGAATTCTAGAATAGTTCTTTAATTTTTTTTTACTTTATAATTACTTGTATAGGCTATTGTTCCCCCATATACGAATCTACTAATCTAGCCAAGTGCCCCGATTGATGGCTTAGAATGGGAATGGGGTACACCGGTCGTCATAGCCACTTAAGCCGCAGCAATTTTTAAGGGACATCTGGCCGTAAGGACATTCAACCGGCTCTCTCACGGATTGAGTACCACTCCCGCCCGTTTCCATCCACTCACCACGTGCTTGGGTCCTGGGACATGTTCGAGAGATTTCAATTAGCCGTGGGCCACCTAATGGTTGTGCCCTCGATTTTTTGCATCAACTGCAGCGGCTAAGAGGGCCTCCACTTTAATGGGACGGATATTAACCCATTTATTCGCATAATTGAGATTTTTAGAACAGTAGCTAGGTTTTAGAAAATTAAATAACTAATTTTTACAGTAGTCCTTTCGAGAAACTTAAATTAAACAACTTTTCCTCACTACCAATTAGTTCAACATTAATAAAATTGTTGTGGTGATACAACATTGTTTCAAAAGCTGAACTTTATACCAAGTTTTAAAAAAATAAACTTTCGTCAAAGGATAAACTTTACTTTATCAAGATATAATATATATTAATAAAGTATCACTTAGTGACTGTTGTAAACGGAGATAATATTAAAAATATAATGAGACTATACCTAATATTTTCATAAAACCCCAAAGTTTGCTAAAGAACCTCGTGGAATAACTTGTACCAGAGTAAGTGGCAATGCCAGATGAATATAGAATATATAATTATGGTCTTAATGGGATGTATGCAGTGTGTTTCTTACCAAGATCTCTTCCAATTCACTCTTAAATGTTCTGCTGAGGGCCTGGGCGCTCACATTATTTGCGATCTGATTCTGATTGAGTGTTGATTGGTTGGTTTGATTGGATGAGGCGTCGTTGTTAAACTCATAGGCGCAATTGCGATTTAAATTTGAAGTTTTGATAAACTGTGCGATATTCAGGTATAGTAAGTAGTAGTAGTAGTAGGCGTGGAGTGGAAGAAGAGAAGAACAGATAACAGTATAGAGTAGAGCAGATCGAGTGAGATGAAGACAACGCCGAAACAGAAAATATAAACAATTGGAACTTGAGTCTAAAAATAATCGGGGGTCCCTTAAAAATCTCTAATAATTCAAAACTAATATAAAGGAAATAAGCTAAAAACACATTTCTCATTGGGTTTCGCATATAAAATATATTATTGCATACTTTTCGACACTTTAAAGTTTTGTAAATCTCTAGAAAATACACTGATCCTTAAGGGATATATAAAATTCTTAGAGAAACAGGCAAACAACTGAATATTATAGAACATAACTATGAGGAAGGGCTATGTTAACGTAAAGGGACAACTCGAAGAATTGAATTCAAAGCTTGAAACAGGAACAGCATTAAGATGGGAAATAGAAAAAAATATATATATATTTAGGTAAAAAAAAATATTTTCTCAAATTTCGAGAGGAAAAAAAAACCATTGTTAATTAGAGTATAAACAAATAACTAGTATAAGCAAGTGGTTACTGGTAACAGCGTAGATTATATAGATGGGAGTTTAACGGATCTAGAAATAATATCCCTTACTCAAAAATCAACAGATCAATAACAGTACAGTATGGAGATTGTTAAAAAAATAAATTTGGGAAGAGAGATATTTTAAAGCATAAACATAAGGTCAAGAAAGGGGCTTATCTTGAACCGAAACTTTAAACTTAAATATATATTGAGAAAGGATGAGGTCTTAACAGATGAATTAAGTAGAAGCTAAGTACGTTTGTTGAAATGACACGTAATGATATTGAAACGAAAATCAAAGGTCTTTCTAATCGGGAAGAGACATATTGTCTAATTGGGGATACAAATTCATTCACATCTCCCCCAAAATAACTTTAAATCCAGCACTGGTAACATTCTAGTTCTATGTAGCAAATAAAGTCCCCGAGGATCCTACTCACATCGGCTATTTTAACGGCCTGTCCGTCCTTCTCCCATTTGGTTGCAATTTGCAAGGTTTCCGCTGTCTTTTGCTGTATGCTCTTCGAGTCATCCAATAATGTCAATTCATAGAATTCTTGTATATCTGAAATGGAAAATAATCCACTATTAATAAAAGTGTTAGTGTGAAAGACCTTAAAACTAGTTCACAACTTTTCTTGTAGAATATTTAAGTCGAATAAAATACTTAAGCCCTTAATAAGTAAACTAAAATTCCTTTTACAGAAAAGGCATTTACATTTTATTTTTTAAGTACTAAAACATTTTAAACACTTGACATTTTTGCTAGGACATCCACATAGAATACAATGTATAAAATTATCAGACTTTTATAAATCTTACAAGATGATTCTAGATCACTACAGATTTATGTTTTATTTTAGATCTATTAAAATTGCAAAGATATTCGTAATGTCTTGGGTACATCTTTTATAATCGAAAATTCGTTTTTTCTGTCCTTAATCAATTAACAGATCAATGATTTCTTAAATCCTCCCATACGTTCAAAGCTCCAAATAAATTGAAAAGGTTCCTTATTCCATTGAGAGCCATTGATATTTGAATTCTGAAATGAAAGAAAATAGATTAGACATTGTGACAGCAGCAACAACCAAAAATCCAATCTCTTACCTCCGAAAAAGCTATTGGTCCAAGCTTTTAGAAATGACCACACAGTATCTCGGTTTATTTCTTCAGCTGCTGGCAATAATCCTCTTTTATGAATATGTCCGGTCGGACTTTTCTCGATTGCCTACTCAGCGGAAAAGAAAAAACCAACTCAATCCCGAGAGAGATGAATAATTAACTCCTTCACACCCGAACGGAATGGATTCTTGGATTGTGAAAACAAACAGGGAATAAAAGTGACAGTGCGGTTAATAAAGTTGAGCACATTGAGTAACGATAACGAGCAACTGAAGTGCAGTCGAACGAATAAACAAACGGATCGAAGACTCAGACGGGATTTTGTAGTTAACTTGTAGTGAAGTGCACTGGAAAAAATTTACCGAAAAAGTTCAAAATGCTCAAAAAAATATTTATTTAGGGGAATTTGTATAAACTATCTTGAAGACTGTTAAACAGCATTATTATTTTAAACATGTTTTTTTTAACCAATTCAATTTAGTATACAATGCTAGTTCATATATTCATATGAAAATATGAATAATGAATGAATGAATTTAATAAATACTAGCTAACGGATCCTTGGACTCACTTTATAAAGGGTTGCATCACCTTTTTTTGGGATTCAGATTTTGGTCAAAAATACTTATTTTTTATCAGTTTTTTAATCGTAGTTTGGCCAAATCAAGTCGTACAGTCAAAAGACCGACAGTTTTGAGCAGCTAACATCCTAAGCTAACAAATCCAATCATTTTAAAGGAAATTTATTTTTTGACCCATTTTTTCATTTTTTGTAAGGGGTTGCATCACCTTTTCTTGGGATTCAGATTTTGCTCAAAAATACTCATTTTTTTAACGATTTTTCGATCGTAGTTTAGCCAAATCAAGGCGTACAGCCAAAAGACCGACAGTTTTGAGCAGCTTATATCCTAAGCTAACAATCCCAATCATTTTAAAGGAAATCTATTTTTTTACCCATTTTTTCATTTTTTGTAAGGGGTTGCATCACCTTTTCTTGGGATTCAGATTTTGGCCAAAAACACTCATTTTTTAACGGTTTTTCAATCGTAGTTTAGCCAAATCAAGGCGTACAGCCAAAAGACCGACAGTTTTGAGCAGCTTACATCCTAAGCTAACAATCCCAATCATTTTAAAGGAAATCTATTTTTTGACCCATTTTTTCATTTTTTTGCAAGGGGTTGCATCACCTTTTCTTGGGATTCAGATTTTGGTCAAAAATACGAATTTTTTAACGGTTTTTCGATCGTAGTTAAGCCAAAGCAAGACGTACAAGCAAAAGACCGACAGTTTTGAGCAGCTAACATCCTAAGCTAACAATCCCAATCATCTTAAGGGAAAATTATTTTTTGACCCATTTTGTCATTGAGCTTTTAATATTAACATTTTTTTCCTATTTAATATTAGAGTCATTTTTACTCTAGCCTTAACTTCTTTCGTGGCCAATAGATTATTCAAATACCAATGGGTTTCCTAACAGTCTGTAACTCATTCATTATTTAACTGCCAGCTTTAAATTCATAAATGATTTCAGTGTGAAACGGGCTTTTATGCTTAAATTATTACAGTGTCATACAGTCATTGAACAGCTTTTCCCAGAGAAGCGGAAATCAGAAACTGTCAGAATGCATCTTAAATGCACACATTTCAATGCAAACTGACGCCTGCCACTGACAGCGGAAGGGGCGGTCTGAAAGTGGGGGCGTGGCAGTACTTACATATATATGGTATATGTATGCATATACCCATATGCCGCCTGCCAATATGTTTCGCCTCAACAGCAGTCAAGTGGCCCAAATGGGGGGGAAACTAAAATTCAACTGAAACTCGGAACCAAAAAACTGGGAAAAAAAATAAAATTGAAACGAAATCCATGGCGCCCATTTAATTTCCTGTGCCCGACAGCCCCAAAAAGAGGGAAGGAGACGGTCGTATGAGGGGGGAAAGAGAAAGCAGGAGCATTGAATTCCATGGGGCATTGCTATGCCACCAATACTGCATGGAAAAGTACTCGCAGTCATTGAAATGTGTGTACATAAAGTACAGCTCCCTCGAAATCTAATAGTTTCCCTGGGGAAATTCGCCAGGCACTTTGAGCCAATATATTTAAAATACGCAAAACACAGAAATTTAATAAGGAATTTTTTAGGCATTAAGAAACAAAACTATAAAATCATTTCTTAAAATATTTTGGAATTTTTTTTATCAAAGGAAACCTTATAAACTCGTATTTTCAAGTAATTTAAAAATCTTATACGAATAATTCAAAAGTTTACCATATCGCAAAAGGGTCAATAGAACTGTGTAAAATTTAAAATATTAATTTATTTCATGTTAATTCATTAAACAAATCAAAAGTCTTTGAAATGTATAAGTACCGCCCATAATATGGTTTTAATTTTTCAACCCATAAAAGATGGAAAATACATTTTCAGACTTTCTTTTCCGAGAGACTACTGTATGTACAGTACACATAGACATTGGCACTTCTGTGCGTTATGCAATCGATTTGGCCACTTGAACTTAAAATGAGTTATCGGAATGCTTCCTGTAAATGGCTTCATAAGCATTGTTATTCCTCCCTCCCATGATTGCTTCTTCAATTTGTGTTCTGCTTTGTTTCCCTCGGTTTTTGTTTTTATTTTTGTTTTGCCAACATTTTTTAGCTTGGCTCAGCTGAAAGCTAAACTTCAGGTTACGCCATCTCTCGTTTTATCTCGCTGTGGGGAATTCCAGGAAATCGATAAGACCTCTTAAAATGTATCCACATTATATCTGCATATGTATTCAAATATCTACAGTTGCGGTTAAAATATTAGTGGCAATTTCGATCTGATTTGAAAAGGTATTAGTTAATCGTCCTAGAAATTACCTACAATTGTCGATATTTTAAACAATAAACGCACAAATTATATATAATTTTTATATTTCATACACTTTATAAAATAATATTGGTCCTTTTATTGTTCTTTTGCAACTTTAAAATTAACCAAAAATTAATAGTTATATATTAAACAGAATTGTATTCTGTACCATTCAACCAGAAATATATAATTAAACCTCTTTTAATTTATTTCTGTGCATTGGATACTAATAATTTTACCGCCATTGTTCCTCTTGTGTATGTAAATGTAAGTATGCTGCACATGATTCGAATTCTAGGCCAATTAAATTGGGATTTTGGCCCGCACATGGCTCTTCATGACCTTTCACACCCCAACACAACCCCTGGCGCATCCTTATCTCTATCCTTCGCTTTAACTTGAGTGCCAATTGTTGTGCCCGTATAACACTGAAAGTTAAAGCTGTGAAAATAAATATAATACTAAGATTTATCAACGCTTAAGAGAGATATCAAAAATATAACGCATACGCAGTGTTGTTCAGACTTTAATATTAATTGTAATTTAACTGAATTGTATGGCCATAGACACAATTAATAATTGTACCGTGTCATAAGAGCACAACAGATTCAATGCAAATGTTTCCCACAAAAGGGAGAGAGAGATAGGGAGAAATGGAGCGAGAGAGAGAGACAGCTAGGGATTGAAACCCAACCTAAAGTTGAACATTATACCCAAAACACACCCACACTCACGTGTTTCGTGTGTTGGGATGCGGCTAATACCTTGTTAATTATTTGACACGCACACACACACCTCCAATTCAGAGGATGGACCTTAGTGGCTACTTTAATTCAAGGTAATAAACTCACTTTCCTACAATTTTTTAGAGCAAAGTTGTTTGATTACTGAGAAATTTAGTTGTAAGAAGATTTCAGAGATGTATTTCATTTAATACTATCATCTAGTAGTAATCGATAACATATCGACATTTCTGCTTCAAGCATGACTGATCACGTTTGGTGGAAGTGTGACCAGGTGGTTACCTAAATTTAGGTCCACCCAAATGCTTAGCCATATAAAAGCTCCTGTTTTCCAACGTGTCACGTGTTTGGCTTGTTTGCATTTGAGTTTGTGTGTGTGCTTGTTAGCCGTTTAACATTTCTGACACGCCAAGCGCAGCCACTGAAACTGTAACGGTAACCGTAACAGGAGAAGAGGAAGCACCGGCGGGATAGAATGGCGAAGAAGAAGAAGAATGAGAAGGAAAAGAGGACTCTAGCGAAACGAAAAGGATTATGCAACTGCCACTGACAGCGGGCAACACATTTTGCACCCAGGGGGCCAATAGAATGGGACGGTGGCAGGGGGCAGGGGGCACACAGTGCGAGCGAAAGAGACGGGGAATAGGGGGGGGTTAGAAAGAGACGGGGAGCCAGAACTTTTGCAAATTATACAACAGGCAAACCCCGACGAACAGACAACTGCAGACCAACCGCCCGTCTCAAAATGGATGGACGTATGGACAGGGAGCGAGACGGGGATACGGATACCGAAAGAAATGGGCGAGAAAAAATTCAAAACAGCACTGCCAAAAATCCAGCACAAGCCAAAAACTTAATCCAGATAAATCTCTTAAGTTCACCAAACACAATTTAGTAGTATTTAAAATATATATGGGTATATGTACGTTTGCACTACACCTGTTTTTAACTGATATCCTTCATAAATAGTTAGAGCCAGATCTGGTTAAGTTACTAAAATGTATCAATATTCTAAAAATGGGAATGACTTGGTACTATTTTAAAGACAATTCAGAATTTAGTAGCAATCTATTTAATAGATCACAAGATCTGAAAAATATTTTAGGAATATAGATATTTTATACCTCAATATATATGCCTCAATGGAAGCTACCCAAATTTTCGAAATAGTTAAGATCTCTAAAAAGTAATCAGCTTTTTTATCGATCTTCGAAAATAACCAGATTTTGTGAAAAAAGCTAAATTAGCCGCATTACTGTTGGACGCCTGCTGTTTCCATTGCTGCGCTGCTTGTGCTATTTGACCCAAATCCTATGCAATATTATCGTTTTACTGTCGCTGTTCTGTTGTTGCTCTTCCCTTTGTTGCTGCCGCTTGTGTTGCTGCTTGTCAAGTGAAAATAATTTCCAACAAGAAGAGCCCGACAAAAAATCGATAGTCGATAGGCAACTGTACAGATAAGAACTACTTTTCAAGGATCTTTCCGGCTCATCAACCACTTTCTAACAATCTTGGCCTGCAAGTTGGGAACTTTGTTTGAGTTTAAAGTTTTGAAATCAATATGATGATGATGATGAGCTTGGTTAACTCTCCTTTTATACTGTACTTGGGTACGCATATATACCACTGTGGGCGGCCATCAGAGAGTTTATAATAGTTCGACTTTATACAAAAAGTTGTACACTGATAGATTGTTTTAACATATATAATTATTTATACCGAAGGAAAGACTAAATATCGATATTATCGATAGATTTACAAGTCGATTACTCACCTAACAGCGCTTGAAACAAGCGAGATTTAAATATGCGTATAACGCGTTCGATTGCAATACGCAGCGCCCGATCCTGCGGCTCAGAAAGTCTGGCATGATAATCCTCGAGCAGCTCGAGAGCCCGATGAGCTTCTGCAAAGTATAGAAAATAATATTATAAGTATATAATTCTTATTGAAAAATATATAATTGATAATTTACTTAAATATTATATGCCTATGCTATTTGATCGAACCATGTGTTTCCTTTATTGGTCCTAGACCATATATCATATTTAAAAGATTATATTTTTAAAGATTTTTTTGGGGTAGTGAGGGGACAGAAACTAACTACTTTGTATCTCCGCAATCCGCTCCTCCTCATCCTGGCTGATCTCCAGACCCGCCTGTCCAAAAACCGTTGACCAGAAGCCCCGCTCGGAACCCTTTTCCGAACCCTGATCCGAACCACTCTCCCCCGCCGATTCCAGAATATGGGATCTCTGCTTGGGCTTTGGTTTTGCCTTCGGTTTCGCCTTTAGCTGCAGTTCCGACTGCGATTTCTCGAGACTTTCCCGCTCGAGGGTTTCGATGATGGTGCGGAAACGACTCAGTTCCATTCGCAAACCCTCGGCACTATGTCGACTGGATGGAGAGACGGAGAGTCCAGAAATTCCGGACAGCAGGCGGCATCGAGCTGCACCCGAGGAAGAGGACGATGGACCCTCCCACTCATCTCGCGAGGCATCGCTTTCGGACTTCTCAAAATAACCGGATTCCACATCCGGCGTTCGAACCATCGAAGTGGAGGATAACAAGTGTCCGTATTCCAAGAGATCCTGAGCCGAATAGAAGCATTCAACGGATTCGCGGACACTATCACGTAGGGAAGTGGGACACTTCAGGGGTTCGGGATCGATTTCGCTTTCCACTTGGGAATCTTTTTGAGGTTCCTTCTCTATATCACCATCTTTAATGGTTATTGCTCGGTGGATATCATCGATTTCTTCAGGCACTTCTATGGCTTCCGCCGATGACTGAACCAGAACCACCAATGGCGGCTGGTCTTCTGCTCGAATCTGCGCTTTCTTCGGCGGCAGCAAAGACTCTTCTTCCGGCTCCTCCTCATCGTCCGCCGGGGAAGAGTCCTCCTCGGGCTCGTCATCGTCGTGAAAGGTCTTGTCATCGCTGCTCAGCAGACCCTCGTTGGGATCACTGCTCTTTTCCCGATCCGAGTCCGTGTCAGAATCCATTTTAAGCGGACCAGCAATTGGCAATGTAGACCTCTCTTCGGGCCCAAGTATCGCACTCAACTGGCCCGACTTTTGAGCTTTATAATGCCATAGTTCGGGGGCTGCTACCGCCGATAAATCAATAAAGATTGACGCTTTTTAAACATGTTTCTCGTTCTTTTTGGCCCTTTCATGTTTCTGTAATTTTCTTGTTTTTCCCCCAACACACTAAGTACAAATTATGTTAGTGCCTGTTGCTTTAAAAGCTCTAAAATTCCATATGTTTTTCAAGGTTTGAAACCCACTTTTAGTTTATCAAGTATACGATAAAGAATTACAAGTGCTTTTGAATTATTCTAACCACTTTTAATTAATCAATATCCAATTAATTCAGTAATCTATTTACTAAGGTACTTTTTAGAATGTTACAAGTGTTTTACAATTGAGTAAGCCTTAGTGATGCTAATTGCTAAAACATATTCTACACCGATTTGCAATTAGACAGAGATTCTAATTGACATTTTTGCACTTAGTTTGTTGTCCCCTTTCGAAGAGGTCAGGGGTCAAGTCCCTTCCCATCGCTGGTTGTCGTTGGTCGTTCGTCCAATGTTTGCCAAAAAATTAAACACATAATTTATTATTATAATCGAGTCGCATTGTGGCCCCCCCAGCAAACACAGACACCCCAAAATATGTATATTTAAACCCAGAATGTATCTGTGTCCGTAGTTTGATGTCCCCAGCACGCGTCAAACGCCGACGATGACCTTCACTGACCATTTGCGAGGCTGCTGGCATCCCCAAAACCCATCCCCATACCCATCATCATACCCCGAAACATTTTCCCATTCCATTTTCCGACTTTTACAGCTTTTGTGGCACTCTTCTTTCGGTTTTTCTTCCCCGCTTTTTGTTGGTTTTTGGCCATTTCATTTGCCCAAATATGATTTGTATGTGACATAATCAAATAAAATTCTTTGTCTGCATTAATTTAGTTTTTTTTTATAGAGGTTCTAAAGCAGTTGGATGCATTTATTTGGCCAAAGTCCCATTAGAAGCAATTAAGCCAACTTTTTTGGTAAACTTTCGCTGCCACCTAAAAAGTTAAATGATCTACTAGAATTACAATTGAAAAACTAATACCAACTTTCGTGTGCATACAGTTTAAAACTTTTCCGCAAATCAATGTACTATTGCCTAAAGTCTATTACAAAAGTGTTGTACTGCTATTTGTAACTATATAGATTGTTAGGGACACTTTAAAAATGTGTTACTAAAAAAGGTACCTACACATAAAAAGTGTTTCGGGGTAAAATTGACCAATTGGGATAGTTACGCAACTGTAAAAACAGTTTAAAACTTTTCCGCAAATCAATTTACTATTGCCTAAAGTCTATTACTGCTATTTGTAACTATATAGATTGTTAGGGACCTTTTAAAAACAATATTACTAAAGAAGGTACCTACACAAAAAACTTTATGGGGTAAAATGTACCAAAAGGGATAGTTACGCAACTGTAAAAAAAGGTTGAGGACTATTAAAAAGAGTAAGTGTATGTTATTATGGCTTTGGTTACTATTTAATAGTAGAACTACCAAAAAATGGTAAGTTGTGGGTATTTTGTTAATGGGAGAGTAACTATTTCGTTGGTAAAATTAACAATTTCATGGTTTGGGACCATTTAACTATTATATTTTTAAGTTTTACCTAAAAGTTTTTTAGTGGGTACATTTATTGTTATGGATAATATTATGCCAAGTATGGTACCTAGTAAAACTATTACATTTTTGAACATAGCATTTGCCTTAAGTGATTTTATCAAATACCATAACCTACTCTTTGAACAGTTCTAACTATAGCACCATTCATGGGGCAGCCAATTAAATGGATTTCTACGTAACGCTGAAGAGTGATATATGCATAGTGGAAAACTGAAAAAAAGGGGAGAATAAGAGTGCAGTTTTTCGCTTACCTTGCTTTTTCACTGGCATTCTGTGAGCGGTGTTTCTGCTACTATTTATGGTGGTGCTGGTGGAAATGGCAGCGGAAATGGCGGTGGTGCAGCAGCTTTGAGTGTGGTTCAACGCCGCCGAACTCGGAAAAGCGTGGGTCGCAATTTTGAGAATTTACTGGAGTCGCTTTCGAGTGGAATTATGCGGGGAAATCGCTTTGGCTTTCGGTTCGTCCTTTTAGTTCTGCGGGCACATATACATATATATATATATATTTGATATATATATAATTTTTGTATATAGTATATAGTGTGTTTTATGTACAAATATTGTTGTTTTTTTTTGGCTTTCAAACGAAGTTGGAGATTTGCTTTTAATTTTGCGCTTTCAGTTTTTTGGTTTTTGGGGGCAGTTTTGTGGTTACATTGACGTGTGCGTTTTCTCTCGATTTCTTTTCCGAATTTCACATTTCAGTGGCTCCTCGTCTACTTCCGGTTCTATGGCTTTTATATTGCACTTCAAATTCGGCTATCATCGAAATGTCGTTCTATCTTCTTCTTCACAACACAGCACCAACACGAAAAAAAACACAGATCGTTTTTTGCCTTTATTGGGTTCACTTTACTTTACTCTATAATTCCATCCACCATCTAGAAGGCGAAAGACAAAATAAAACGGTTGAGAAACAATGCTCCTTTGGATTTATTCATCAAAACAAATTTTGTTGTATAATCATAAAAAAAAAATTTACGAAAATTGCAGACACACACGGGCGCAGTGAAATACGCTTCCGATTGCAACGAAAAGTGTACAGTGGTAACTCGCTAAGGGGCATTTTTAAGTGTATTTGGTATACGGTAAAGCAGCCAGTAATTCTTTTAAATTTAAAGATATTAGGAATACGGTTAAGAAACTGAGGAAAAGTGGTTTAATTTAAGGGAAATTAATAAACACTTTTTTGAAATATTAAAAAAGAAATTTCGAAATCTTTAATAAAGATAATTTATTAATATTGAAAAATTCATTTTTTAAAAACAATTTTGAAAAGACAAATTTGTATCTCACATATCTTAAAATAATAATTCAAATGGTAATGTATTGACATGTTATTGATCATTTAAACAAATTTACCCATTTGTTTTGTTGTCTTAAATTCAAAGTTTAAAGCATAAAAACTCGAAATACAGTCATATTTATTTTTTTTTAAAGAGTACTGATTTCTTTTTTAGTGACCACTGTTCCTGGCGTTTTTGTTCAGACACTCATATTTGGGAAATAAGAAAAATTGAAGAGGCAAAAACAAATAGCGTCGCGGCGATGTCGAAATTTTCGTCTGGCCGTTTGTTTCGCGATCGCCATTGTCGAGCTGATTTTATTTACATATTTTCGCCAGTCTGTGTGAGTGCTGGCTGCCTTTTTTGCTATTTCAGCGAAATGTTTTTTTGTGCAATTGCTCTAGTTTCACTCAAAAAAAAAAAAAAGAAAAAAGAAACAAGAAGAGCGTCCAAACACGGGGGAAAAATGCAGTGGAGATAGAGTTGAAATGTCAAAGTTGGGGGAGTTATTTTCTTTTGTTTTTGCTGGTTCCTATTTGGCTCGGACTTTGACTTGATAACTTGTTACATTGGCCAGGTCGAAATTCCGTAACGCCGCACACCCGCACCGCACACAGACACACGTCCAACTGAGGCAATAACGGTGCTCTGCTTTTGGCCCTCTGCCGCTGCCTCTGCTGCCTCTCTTCTCTTGGCCACCTTTCTCTTGCCGACCGAGAATCCCGAGCGATTCTCAGTCGTCGGTCGACGGACCAACAATTAGTGTTTGCATATACTACAGACACCAGATACAATATATATATCTATCTATCTATTTATCTGTCGGATGCCTTTCTTGCTCCTTTCAAAAGTTGCCAACGCGAGATAATCAAAAATAACTGAAACTTTTGCCTTAGTTTTTGGTCAATATTTGGCCAAACAAACGAGAATGTGGCCCACGTGCTAATGGTTCGTGTTTTTTTCGCACCATTATTACGTTGCCAACTAAATGTTAGCTCATAAAATAAATATCTTACAGGTTGAACCCTCTGCGCGAGATATATTTATAAGTAAAAAGTAGGAATTATCTTAAAAAATAGATAATAAAAATGTTCTCTAATAAAATAACGTAATAATATTTATACTCAATATAGAAATTAGAATTTTAGTATTTTTATGATGGCGTAAAAGACCCATATTTTAAAATGACCAAAAAAATTGTTTTCAAATAAAATAAACAACATCTAAAACATTTTCCCAATACCTATCAAATAAAGCTATCAAATAAAAAAATGCATTGGAAATTTAATTTTATTTTGTTAGGTATGTTTCTTCTTTGGTAATCTCTTACATCTACGAAATATCTCATTATATATACATGACCTATATATTTTTCCACAATTTCTAAACACAACAAACGTGCCATCCGTCGTGAAATTGCAATATAAGCAATATTATTAAACTCTCGGTGATTTGTTTACACAGAAAATAAATAAAACAACCACACAATTCAGAATCAGTTAGGGCAGTCTCGAACTTGGTAATTGACAGGAAATCAAATCATAATAAAGGTTGTTTAAGCTTTAAACGATTAAATGTTGCTTTGCTTGAAATGTTGTTCTTACAAACTGAAAACATCTCCATAAAGTTACCCTGATTTTTAAAAGGGGTCAATAGGTTTAAAACTGCATTCTGCTAACATAATTTAAGTCTAACCCTTGGTAGCCCAAGAAAGCGTGTAATTTTCCTCAAAACAACAACTGTTGGATGGCTCTTAGGAATTATTTAACAATTTGCCATCTAAACCGACAGTCCTAACTGCCGGGAACCCATTATTTTGACAGACAGGACAGGATCCTTGGGTCTCTATTGAAATGAAGCCCAGTCACTTTGATTAATGTTGTGTACGCCAGTGACGCGAATTACTTAAAAACAATTGAAAAACTAGACGGGTCAATACACAACGCCCAGGAAGGCCAGGCAAAGGGGAGAGGGCGATGAAGAAAGTGGCAAAGGGGAGGCCAAAAACAGTGCTAGCGACTGGAAACTAGGAAACGCGCATCGAGAAAGACACCAGCAAGAATAATAATAATAATAGTAGCAATAATAACAACAGCAGGGGTAACGAAGGCCGGGTTCAATCACCTTTGGGAATTACGTACCGGTTATTACGGTTATTATTATTATTATCCAACACGGACAATTTTCAACAGTCGTTCATATCTCTTAACCTGCACACCAAGGAAAAGTATCTACTTCAAATTGTTGTATCTAGTAAATAAATGAATTAATATTTGGTATTTGGTAATATTTTAACAGAATATTACCATCGATCTGTCTGATTTTTAGATTTTCTCAGTCTTGATCAATGCTTTTTAAATGGTTTCATTAAAATGACATTAGTTTAACACATATTTTAAAAGGCAGCCTAAAGTCAAGGTTATTTTTAAATTAGCTCCCCTATTTTTTGTGTGTACCTACACTTCGTTTGATTTAGTGTGTGAGTTGGATTTCTATACATTTAATTTATGTGCGTCATTTGTTTCCTATTTTTAATGTCTTTCGGCCGTTTGAAGTACTTTTTTTCTATTTTTTTTCGGGCGCACACACGTCGTATAATTGATATGCATACTCTCACACACGCACATGCATGTGTGTGCAATTGTATTGCCTATTTTTATGGTCCTCGAGTCCTTTGTGGTTTGCATGTGTGTGTGAATGTAAGAGCATGGGTACAGTGATCGTTGACAAGACGGAATTTGGGAATTGTTTATTTGATCATAGATAAACATAGTATTTCAATGAAAGATAATCTGTTTAATTATTAAGATGGGCTGATTTCCTGCATCTTTGAGACATAATATAATAATATATTTTTAAAAGATAAACTGTTTAAAAACTAAGATAAGCGGATTTCCTACTTCTTCGGGCATTATTTAATAATATATTATTTAAAAAAAACACTGTTCAAAAATTAAGAGGCATGATTAATACTTCAAATACTTTTAAATGCTAAATAACATTTACTAGGAAATTTACAGGAAATACAGCTCAAGCATTTAAGATTGTGCAATGAATTCTCGTATCGATTTTATTAAATTATTTAATTTTTTGTATGTGGTAAGTAAGGTTTTAAAGAAAGTATAAAAAAGTATATATTGCCTTAGAATTTTTTGTAGCATAATAAAAATTATCATTCAATAATCGCATTATTTAATAACGACTTCCCTTTTAGTGAGTGGCCACTGTACCCCCTCATAAGCACTCCAACACACACACACACACTTTGATTCACCTGCTGCAGGCGCGAACCCAGACCCAGAAAAGTATGCAGCAAAACGGAGAGCATATGCAATAAACACTCAATCCCACGCACACGGACACACGCAGACCCACACACTTGCAGCGAGATATTAACCGTTACGGATTGACGTTCGCCTGGCGGATTTTTGACCTTGACATGTCGCCCGTGGTTGTAATTGTAGTTGTTTTCGGTGGACGGTGGACCGGAGTGTCAAAAAAACAAAAAAAAAAAAGAAATGGTAAAGGCAAAAGGGACAAATCGGAGAAAATCGAAGGGAAAAGCGGGCGGAAAACTGGGTCGCAGATAGGAGGTGATTAATTATTCAGCCGCAGCATAATTATTCGAGCGTTGTGGTGTGTGTGTTATTTATAGACTAGCCGAAAACACAAAAAAAATTACAGATACTAGACTACAATAAAATAATACACACCATAATGTATGCACAAAAGGGGAAGAGAGATGGAGAGACAGAAAGACAGAAAGAGAGAGAGAGCAAGAGAGCATTGTAAACTTATTTATACTAATGCGAAAATTTGCACACACGCTCACATTATTGTGAATTTCCCCCCGTTAAGTTAACGACTAAAAAAGGGATGCTGTGAATTATGTATGCTCCACACTTACGCACACACACACACATACACACCGGATTTCGATTCGATTGCAACTGCAGTGCTACACACGAAAAAAAAAAAGTCAGCTGGCTGCTGTACCGTTACACACTTATACACGTGCCTCCTCGGCAACTATTTGATTTTTCCTGAATTTCCTTTATATCATCTTTATTTACAACAACATCCCTTGCATACACACACACAAAAGACAACCACCACACATACACAGGGACGGCGAAAAAAAGGAGCACCTTAAAAAAAAGTGTTTAATGTTCCGTTTTTAATCCTGCAGGCAAATCAAGGTAAATTTTCATGTTTCTTCACTTGATCCTTTTTTCCTGTTTTTTTTTTTGTACTTTTCTTTGTACTGCAAGCCGACACCGACTGTGTGTTTTATGCTACACACGCACACACACTCACTGGCAAAAAGGACATGCGTTTGGCACAGCCTTCGGGCATTTTATGTTTAATATAAATAAGTAGCGGCAGCACGTTGGAGAATATATATTACGGTTTTCTGCTCTGCTCACGGAAACACTAGTTCTAGTTGAAAACAGTGTTACCAGAGGCGCGCGAGGTGAGAAACTCCAATAAGAAGACCTGGGCTAAATTTCAAAGCGAGGGCGCGAAACGGTTAATAAGTTGAAATCTTTAAATCAACCAAATAAATACTAACTGTTCTTAAATAATTTAGGAAACTTATAGTTTAAGTAAGCAAACTCCTTAAGTATCAACAGATACGCTTGTTAATGATATATGACGGTTTTAAAAATTGTAATGGATCTTATAGTTACTAATTAACTTCAAGAATTTGTTAACAATATTTCGCTGTTGTCTATTTATTTAGCTTTTGTTAAAATAATATTAACTAAACTTCCAATTGGAAATTTACCGATAATTCCAGTGGCAACGCTACCCTAACTATCGATATCGAAACGTTATATTTAAATTTGATATTGGTTTTAAGAAATAATTAAACAATAAGGAACTTGAAGTTAACTAAACGAGTTAGTGTTAGTATGTAATAATAATAATAAATCGAAATCTGAATAAAGGGGCTGGATGAGCATATCCGCCAATTCTGAATTCTGAATTTACTGGTCTCAATGGTCTAGTAACAAGGAAACTTTATTCTATTCTATCAAAACATTTTAATTAAAACAACAAATTTAATATGTGGCACCATTTTGAAATTTGCACACCTTACAAGAAAGTAATGCAAAACAATGCATAAAATACAATAACTTAAAGACCTATAAGCTTTTTCTAGGTAAAGTCAAAAGTTGTTTAGCTGACAACTCTCGACCTCTTAACAATGGTAAACTCCTCATTATTACAACTTGTACTAAGCATTTAGCAAGCTTAGCTAAAACGAGTCTTAGAAAATCCAAGTAAATAATTAGCACGCTATACTCAATTTAAACATACAAAACGAAAGTTGTATTTATTTTGGATACGCTAGCGTCAGGCCGTCAAAACAGTAGTGTTATGGTACAGGATTTATGGTTTGTCCTTGTCCAGAAGGTGGATCTCCGATTCCGGATGACGGGTCACATAATCAGATGGCCGCGCCAGAACGCAGCGCGGAAAAAAAGGTGCTTACATGATAATTTTTTGTTTAAAAATAGCTTTAACAGTAGGACAGTGGCGGAAGCTCCCAGGATTCGGATGTGGAGTCGAAATACCCAGATCCCAGATCCTAGATTCCAGTTGTGGTAACATGAACACCCCTCTACAGGTCGCCGCCGCCGCGCTTTTGGAGCATCTGGGCAAAACGTTGGGTGATCAGCAGCGAGGTGTCGATGAAGCGGTCGACGCAGTTGCTCAAACACGTCTCGGTGGCGTGGTCCAGCTTGGTGCTCGGCTTCCCGATGCACTTTTCCCAGCAGATCTCGTTGAACTCGTGTATCTGGGGGAGGATAGCAATTGTTTATATGATTCAATCGGTTGGGGGACATATGAAATGTATGTATGGAGACTCACCTGCGCATTGACCTGGGCCTTCTGTTTCTCGATCATGAGGAACTCCTGCAGCTCCTTGTCGTTGCCGGAAAGATTCTCAAATTCGGACATGGTGTGATTTTCAGTGAACAATTCTAAATAACCGGGGTCCGGAATTTTATATATTTTGAGGTTTGAGGTTATATAAACGGCAGTGACAGCTGTGGCAGTGGAGATGTAACAAAAATCGATGTTTTATGCTGTCGATGTTTTTCGGGCAGCCATCGATTACTTCAAATAATGCTTTGCTTACACTGCTGTGCATTGCCAGTGGCATTAATTGACAAAATGGGTTTGAAATGGCATAAAAGCGTTGCAGTCGTGCATTTAATTTAGGAAAAAGTTCTTTGGAATTACTTTGTAATATTCTTACTTATGGTTCTCTTCAAAACGAAATGTTGTTTCCAAAATGTTTTTAAGACATTTTTACTTGCCTCAGTGGCTTTTAACAAAAATATTTCAAAACGTTTAGAACAAGGATTGAGGAAAATCTAATGGTTAAGAAGGAAATTCGAATAAAATCCAATTCCTACCAGTAAAGTGTGAACAGCTTAGTCTTAATTTGACAGGCCACCTCTAGCTGATAAGACATCGATACCATGAAAAACCGACATCGTTTCCAACACTGAGCCCGATATCGGTAGGTGCCAATTGCCCAGCCATCAATCAATCGATAACAGTAGGTGCAAATTGTCCGATAAATTTCACAGCTATTCGTGGCTTGTATTTTGTAGCTTCGCAATTGCTGCAGATCCAATTCCACGACCAAACGCGACTGTAAACAAGGTGCGATTATATCCCCGGCGGTGGCCCAAAGTTTTGCAGTGGCCCTGCCCCGCGAAAGATTCGGATCTTGCTGGCGTTTCGGGTGTCTTGTTTCGGACCCTGATTTCTTCCGATTTCTTCTGCACCTCGGGTGCTAACGGATCGACGAAGTTGTTCTTCTCCGGGGAGTTGGCACATTCGTCGCTCCATTTGGTGCTCCATTCTCGCGTAGATTGTCGGAGCAGCAAGCCAGCAGGGTTCCCCGCCAGCGGAATCCATGGAACTGCCTGCAAAGTGAAGATAATCCCAGAGGACCGGGGGGAAAATCTTGTTCAGGGTAAGAGAATCCATCCATGAAACACTCTCTATCTCTCGCGGGAATTGAAGAACCAGTCCAAAAACGCATAAAATAGTAGCTGAACCTCAAGAAACCATCACAACGAATCTGAATGCGTGGGTGTGTGAAGCAAAACTCGGGAGGAGATTGAAGGAACCACCAGGTGAATCTGCAGATAAAGGATCCAGGCTGGGCATGACGAAGCACCAGCCGCAGCAGCCCTAGTTCTCGCACACAAGGACAAACGCCAGCCAAAAACTGGGACTACAGGAGGAGCACCGAGGACCCCGCCCAGAGGCACCATTCACCGACCATCTTCTCATGGCCTTGGCCAGGGGAGAGGAGGACAGAATGGACGACAGCAGCAGCGGACGCACTTCGTTGGCGGACAGCGCCAGTCTCACCAACTCCTCCATGCGCAGCGGCACCTCCTCGCAGAGCATCACCAACAACGATGGCACCATCAGGGTGTACAATCTCGTCACCGGTGGCTATGAGCGCTTCCCGCCCAACATGCTGTGCGAGGAGATGTGCAATGCCATGTGCCGCCTGCACAACATTGCCCCCACGGCCCAGCTGCTGTACGGGATACGTGAGCACTCCACTTCGCGTCGTCCCACGCCGCTGATTCGCCTGGATCTCACGTGGGTGCTGCCCGGAGAGCGTCTTAGCTGCCAGTTGGTCTACTGCTTCCGGATGCGATTCCGGGTGCCCGAGCTGGACAACCAGCTGGAGTCGATCGATCCACGGAGCCACAAGTTCCTCTACCATCAGATGCGTTACGATTGGCTCACCGAACAAATCCCGGAGATACGCTATCCGGAGCACAAGGACAAGTCCACGGGCCTGGCCGTAATGGACATGCTGATCGATGCCCAGGAGCAGACGGAGGATGACCAGGCGTTGCGATCTATCGAGAAGTCCTACCGAGCGTATTTGCCGCCGAGCTTGTGGCGGGCGCACAGCTTCTTTGTGGGCTCCAAGATACGCGAGGTGTTCCGCAACCTGAAGGCCAATGCGCCGAGTATTGAGCGCCTCAAGTGGCACTATGTCCACCAGATCTCCCACCTGGCGCCCTCCTACCTGACCGAACAGTTTACCTGCACCGTTCAGTATCTGCCCAACGAGGAGGTGGCCCGCGGCGGCGGCGCCATTGGCACCAGTCTCACCCAAACGGTCAGCAAGTCCACAACGACGCTGGTCAGCTCCGGGTCCACCAACACCCTGTCCACGCTCACCACGAACATCAATCATGGTGGCCATGGCGGCAGCGGCAAGAAGGGCAAGCGACGATCCGCCAGCGCCGGAATAGATGTCTATGTGCGGGTCTTTCCGCACGACTCCCTGGAGCCGGGACTTAAGGTGGCCAGGGTCACCTCAGAAGCCACCCTCAAGGTGAATATAACTTTACACACGTTTTTAAAGAGCTCCTTTTCTTTTAAAGCTTATTTTAAGGCGGGTTTTTTTAATTATTCCAACATTTTTAGAAGCTTATCAGCACTTTGCGGAAATGAATCAATGCTAAGTCGCTTTCATAGTCATAGACCTTAATTATAATAATTCCCCAAATTAAAACGCTCTTAACTTAGGCGAGGTTATAGAACTTAAATTAAACTTTTATAAACTTTGTTTTCAACCAGAATTTTTTCGTTTCTAAAAATCTAACCCAAAATGTTTAGTTTTAACTTTATTCCAACACTCGATCAAAAATGATTAAATTTGTTAAATGATACTTCCCATGAAACACTTGTTCTCACCCTTCTAAATTTCCAGTGAATTTCTTAATAGTATTGATGCTATAATTGCCAAGTAATTCATTCAGTATTTGACTTACTTTCATATCAGAACGTGCCTCCAGGGGAAACTCATAAAAATTTCTAAAAATTATTCAGAAAAATTATGTTTAATACATCCGACATCAAACAAATTAGGTTTTTCCAAATATGATTAGTCCGCATTTTTATTGGTAACCCAAAAGGTATTAAGTCTATGAACTCTCTTTATACAAAGACTGGACCATTGAGATCTCTTATCGAAAACCATCTTCAAGTTGGAATTATAGGAATTTTAGAATATTTTATTGAGCTCCCAGTTTAATGGCTTCGCCAATTATTCTCTCGATCCGGAGTACGTGTAGTAATACGTCTTATCGGGGGCAACCAATGTGGAACGTGCAGGGTAAAAATAAGAAAATATAAAAAAAATTATATACATATAGCCAAAGCCCGCTGATTACAATGTTGTCCATGTGTTTTTCAGTGGAATCTGGTTGGCGCCGTGGAGGGAATTTTCATGATCTCCAAAATCAGCGACACCTCCGTGAGGCTCGAAATCGTGGGCCTGCCCAAGGGCTACGAGATGCAGTTCCAGACGGAGAAGGAGATGAAGTCCTTCATCTCCTACCTGGGCATCTATATCAGGTGAGTCTTCCCGCTGTCATCTTAAATGATATATAATAAACCAATATACCCTATACATTTGTTCTATAATAATAAAACAATTAAACACCATCAATCTCTTGATCAGGCATGAATTTTATATTCTTGTGATTACAAACAATCGTAAATGTTATTATTCTTCATTGTTTCAAAATAACTTAAGCCATGCTGAAGGCTTCGTAAATTCCACGAAATACGTCGAATACTTAATTATTTCTTCTGGGGTAAACAAACATATATAGTTCCAACTAAACAGTTGATTTAAACACAAACATGAAATTGATAACAACGTTTAAATAAAATGTGTATGAAATGCCATCGTCCAAACAAGCAAAAGTATTTAAAATGTAGCTTAGCAGGAGAAACAAAGCCGAATTTCAATGTTTGTTATCAAGTTAAAATTTTTTTATTTTCAAAAAAAATATTTTCAACCCGAGGCCTTGAAATCAATCTCAACTTTTTTATTTGTATTTTTGATAGTTTCTTTTATACATTTATTTGATTAAAATAAAGGGGGAGGAATGATGACAAAAGCCAGCTTATCTATAAAATAAATATAAAAACAATTTAGCATTATTGACAGCGCTCAAGAGCTTTTAAATTTTTATCGCAATGTTTTGTTTTTAATAAATTAAGAACAAAGCGTATTGAAATAGTTTTTTTGCAAGTCTATTTTTAAAATTTCACAGAGATAATAGTATTATATTAAGAGTTAAGTAAAATGACCTACTGATATTCTTTCATAAATATATATATTATTAATAATAATCTAGAAAGTAATTAAATTCTTGTTGTGAACTTAATAATTTCTGCTATATTTTTTAGGGATTTCATTTTAAAGATTGCACAATATATTTATAATTAAGTTTTTATAAATAATTATATTCAGTAAGTTTATTGAAAATGAAAATGATTTTTCAAAGCATAGTGTATGTTATGAGTATATATATAAAAGTAGTTACGTTACACTAACTGAGCAACTACCTAAGGATAATTTGAATGTAAATCTAGAGCAATGAAGATAATCAAATCCCCATTAACTCGTATTCCTTTGCCGTTTCCTTTGCAGATTGTCCAGCAAGTGGATGCAGGACCTGTGCCACTCCTACCGCACGCCCTCCCTGGAAGAGCTGAGCTCCCTGTATTGCCATGGACCCATTGGCGGCGCCTATTCCCTGATGAAGCTGCACGAGAATGGGGACAAGTGCGGCAGCTACATTGTGCGCGAGTGCGACCGAGAGTACAACATATACTACATCGATATCAACACCAAAATGTGAGTGCTGCTGCTCTGCCCCGCACGCGCCCACTTTATCAGCCACTTCCTCGACCTTTATCAGGCTTAGAATACTCTCCATATGCCATATATACTATGCCATTTTATATTGGCCATTGTTCCTGGTTTTTACTCGCATTTTCCTTCTAATGGATTAACTCTTTTAATTAGTCTCTGTGGCCTTGTGCAGACGTCAACAGTTTTTTCCATGAAAGTAAAATTAGAACGCTTTGCTTGCGTTCTTTTTTTTATATCAAATCCGCAAGTACGTCATTAAAACAGTTTTTAATTGAAGATTTGAGCCATCGGGTTGCCATGCAAACGGATAATGCGAAGTGATGCTTTTCCTTTTTGCAGCCTTTGCAAAACGCATTATAGACTGCGTGTATTTGTTGCAGCTATTTATAACTTAAGATTGAGATAAAAAAAAGGAGAGGAAGACTTAGCTTCGGCAAGGCAAAGCTAATATAACCTTGCAGCTTAGACCATAACATGCTAAGAAAATCATACTTTAAAATTATTACAGAAAAATTGTATTATAATAATAATAATTCCTATAACCTGCGATAGAAAGAAGACTTTTGGGAAAGTTTCATTCCGATAGCCTTAAAGCTGAGAGACTAGTTTGCGTACAAACGGACATACGGACAAGAATATATATACTTTATAGGGTTAAAAATGTCTTCTTCCTTTTGACTGAAATTATAATAGCTCCTGCACGGGTATAGCAACCTTAATAAAATTTAATGTGAAACGATGCCTTCCTCTTTGCAGCATGGCCAAAAACACCGACCAGGAGCGTTGCAAAACCGAGACATTTAGGATCGTGCGCAAGGACTCGCAGTGGAAGCTGAGCTACAACAACGCGGAGCACGTGCTGAACTCCCTCCATGAAGTGGCGCACTTCATCCAGGCGGACAGTCCCGATCGCTACCGCATACCCGCCTCCAAGTACGACAAGCCGCCGCTGCTGCTCCTGCTGCTGCCAAAGAACCTCAAGGCCAAAAAGACTGACCTGCAGCTTAGCGAGGCGGAGCTGCAGCGCCGCAATCCGCAGATCTTCAATCCCAAGACGGATCTGCAATGGTATCCAGGTGAGGCACAGTCATTGCTGTATTCCTTTGCTTGCACTATAGTTCTTTTCTTGATCTCCCGCAGATTCGATTTCGCTAAGCGACGATGGCATGATGTTTACCATGCGCGGCGATTGGCTGCAACAGAGTCCGGTTAAGGATGTCTCTGTGACGATGAAGATGCTGAAGAGCGACGGCAATTTCATGGAGTTCTTTCGCCTGGCGCAGACCTGGAGCCTCATCCAGTCGCCGCAGTTCCTCAAGCTGTACGGCCTCACGCTCGCCGATCCGTACACCATGGTAATGGAGTACTCACGCTACGGACCGCTCAACAAGTTCCTGCACTCGGTGCCCAATGTCACGCTGCACTGTCTCCTGGATCTGATGCATGGGCTGGTGCGCGGCATGCACTATCTGGAGGACAACAAGATCATCCACAACTACATACGCTGCAGCAATCTGTACGTGACCAAGTACGATCCCAACTCGTACGTGCTTGACGTCAAGATCAGCGATCCAGGCTATCCGCGGCCCTATCGAGAATCCGAGTGAGTAGCTCTCGATTCCGCTTAATAATGACAATCTGCCGATGAATACGTCATTTAAGCATGTTATCATCGAGGCACAATTCATAGAGCTTTAGGTTTCGATAAGAGAAGAGCGAAAAATCCTTTTAATATGCTAAATTTTATTCCCAGCTCGCCGTGGATACCTACCAAGTATTACCGGAATCTGCAGGCGGCCAAGCTGGATCAGTACACCCAGCTGTGGGCCTTCGCCACCACCATATACGAGATATTCTCGCGCTGCAAGGATGACCTGCGCAACTTGACGCAGGACCAGCTGATCAGACAGCGAAACACCGATGGCAACATACTCAAGATGCTGGATCCGGATCTGTGCCCCACGCTGATGTTCGAGACCATCATGGACGGGTGGTCCGATGACGAGGAGAAGCGCTTCAGTCACCACGACATCTTTTCGCGTCTCAACACGATCAAGGCGGTAATATTGCCGAATTATATGCCGCCACCTGACCTCGCAACAAGTAAGTTCCGAATCCGAAAGTCTCAAGAGATAAGGAAGGTCAGGGTGTCTCAAAGGCACCAGTGAATCAAAACCTTTGATAAGATTAATAGATTTAACTTATACCCTTTTGTAACTTGTGTATTTCTTCCATATATCTTCGCAGACGGAGCTGGCGAGGAGGAAATTGTTGACAGAAGCGATGTTCCCTGCAATTATCCCTTCCCGCGTTCGAACATGCTGATGGTGATACCGCTGACCAGCGAATGCCGCGTGATCTACAACATGGAGAACATGATCGGTCAGGGTCACTACGGCACCGTCTTCAAGGGTCACCTGGAGTTCAACGACAAGGACCATCCGCGCGAACAGGTGGCCATCAAGATGCTGAACACCATGCAGGTGTCGACCGACTTCCATCGCGAGATCGGCATTATGCGCACCCTGGTGCATCCGAACATCGTCAAGTTCAAGTACTGGGCGGAAAAGTCGCACTGCATCATCATGGAGTATCTCTCCGGCTCTTTCGATGACTACCTGCGCTTCGAGAGGCCCAATCTCAAGGACTCACGCCTGGTCGCCTTTGCCCTGGACATTGCGCAAGTGAGTGGGTTCGGGATTATAACTATATTATATATATTAAAGTCCAAATACATATGATAATCTTATGAAATTTATATTATTTTTGGCTTAAAACTAAGAGCCCTATATTCTTTCACTAGAATTATTCAAACCATCCCTTTATAGTTGGCTATTCTTCCATTTAATGATGTTTCATCCATTAATTTTCTCCCCGTAGGGCATGAAATACCTGTCTGGAATGGGACTGATCCACAGGGACTTGGCCGCTCGCAACATTCTGGTCGATCACAGCGGCGATAGCGATTGCGTCAAAATCTCAGACTTCGGCCTGGCGCAATTCGCCAATTCGGATGGATATTACTACGCGAAGAGCAAGCGAGATATTCCCATTAAATGGTGAGGAAGATCTAACTAGGTTATCCTATCTACTTTCTGTGATGTATTATAAAAACTAACAATTGAAAACTCCTTTCCCATTGACAGGTACTCCCCGGAGGCCATCTCCACCTGCAGATTCTCATCACACTCGGACGTTTGGAGCTACGGCGTGGTGCTCTACGAGATGTTCACCCGAGGCGAATTGCCCAATCTGGTGCCGATGCAGACCTCGCAGGAGGACTTCCTGACCCGCCTTCAAAAAGGCGAAAGGTAAAGCTTATCGCCAAGCTCGGCCCAAATTAGCTAACAAATAATCTACACTTTTTCTTAGAAAACATAATTTTATTTTACCAATGATAACCTTTAAACACGTGTAGCTATTATTTTAAAGCGATAAGGTTTTGAATTAAAGAATCTGACAGTTGTGGGAACTTTTATGAGTCAGTTTTATAATCTCTTAGAGGGACAAAGGCCTTAAAAATTATTTCTGATTGTTTATTCTAATCTTTTTTAGGACGTAAAATGTAGTAAATGTAAAATATTACTGAAACTGTAGTTATAAGCAAGTATTTACAGTTTCTTTTTTCTAAAAACATAAAAAATGTTAACAAGTTTGAGGTTTTCGCTCAAGATATGAAGTTTCTAAAGTTATTTCTGTATTTATTATAAATTTAATAACACTAAGGATATGTAAATGTTCCATTTAGGATTAATTTCGAAACGTTATTTTATACTCCTTCCGAAACTCATATAAATATATCCTATTAAAACACCTTTCGTTTGCAGATTAAATCGCCCGTATAGCTGCCCGGACTTTATGTACGATCTGATGCAGTTGTGTTGGCACGCCACGCCCCGTTCGCGCCCCACTTTCGCAGATATCGTGGATATCATCACCAATGAGACGGCCACTAAGGTTTCGCATCCTTCGGATGGCCACCAGTCGCCGCCAAATCTGCCGCCGGAGGCCGAGTAAAAGGAGACGAGAGTTGCTAAAACAACGGAATGATATACAAATATTTAGGCATAAGTTTTTTTAAGCTGTTAGCATTTAAACTGTACGTTTTTAAAACAACCCAAGCGAACCACAAACCACTTGACGTAACCCGTAAAGCTTTAAGCGCTTTCGGAAGAATCACAATATCCCAAAAGAGCAATCTGTATCATGCCCTAAAAACACTCATGCCTTCAAAAGCCTTTTTGGATTCTGGCCAGAACCTAGTTTTATCCTTGTGCTTACTTACCATTGGCCCCCCTCCCCCGCATCCTCGTCTTCAATACCCCAATCTTGACTCGGCGGAAGCCCCGACTTTATATATATATATATCTACACACATGTAAACCAATTCTCAACCTACTTTGTGTTATACATTTTAGCCCACTTTGTTAAATATTGTTAAGCTTGAGCTTCAATTTTTTTTGTAATGCCCACGCATAAACACTAAACTAAATATAAAGTGTAAATAATTATTAAACTAGTTAAGGGTTTGAACGAGAACGGCAACACACGGTAATTTACACGAAACACGGGGGACGGATCGAAAGGATCGGTTCCGCGGTTCGACTAAGCTTAATCTATAACGTAAAAAACATGTGCACATATAGTCCTAAGGTATGTCAATTAATGTTGATCAAATGCCATTTTAACCTACAATACTTCGAAACAGAAACGAATTATATATTTACAAGCTATACAGCCACTATACAAGCCGGTTGCACAACACGCCCGCAGGCACAATAACTTATTATTGCTGTTAACGAGAATGGATATTTCCGAAATAAATCAATTTTCTTACGTGTTTAAAAGTGAACGTTTATTGAATGTCATTATTGAGTGGGTTCAAAGCGGGGTGTACATCATATAAGGGATGCTGACACGGATCTTGAGAGTTTTGCGTTTATAGTATCTTTACTTTTACAATTAAATTCGTATATAGCCTTAATAGATTATTATGTTTCTTAAAGAAATTTCTGTTTTATTGGAACCATATATAAATATTTCATATAGGATCTTAACTTCTATTTTAAAGTTCTTTATTTAAAATTTTAACTAGTTTCTAGTTTAACATTTTATCCATTGATTCAGAAATCGTAAACTGGTATTTTTAACAGATTTGGATATTCTTTTTAAACGCTTGTATTATTTATATAAAAACGAAAGAGATGACACTACTTTTATAGAACCCTTGGTTATTTAATTTTCTAAGCCTACTGCATATTATTTTAAGGAAAATAGACACTCATTAAGATTTAATTTGAATACCTGTGCTGATTTCAATAGTTTGTATTTACTTTCAGACACGATTATAACAGCTTTTTGTGAAATTCAGTTTTTATTCATTATATATACAGATTTAAACCTATCTTGTCCTGCCTATTGTAAATCTTTATGATTAACTAACTATGAACTACCTTGAAAAAGGTGGTTCACGTATATCCTAAATAGGCTAATCTTCAAACGGCGGTTATTAGGCAATATTAACAGGAATATTGCCATTAGTGAATGAGTAAGAAATGAAGTTTAAAGTGGAACACAAAAGTAAGTTCTAAATGCGATATAATACCTACTCTATCTAACTATATAAAATGCTAGATAAACTTCTTACGGCTACTTAAACTACTCTTATTTGTTAGCTCATTAATTCTAAGGAATAGGCTGCCTCACTTGCAAGATACTGTGTACCAGTACTTGCTCTCTAATGGAAAACTGAACTATAAAATGGTAAATGAAAGTTCTTACAAGCTAGTCTTATGACAAGGTAGTAGTTAAAAACATCAATCTCTAGAGTCTAGACCAACTTGTTGAATGGTAATTACTGGTAGATCTTAACTATATATGGCGAAATCGCAAGAACCTTTAAGGGTTACCCTCTTTACCTGCGATTTGTCAAGTTAGACAATGTTTTTCCCAACTAAAAGTAGAATTTAGCTTGTTTTTACTCAACCAAATGAATTTAAAGTTATCCTAACCCTGGTCTGCATCGGAATTCTTTGGCCCTCTGCCTTTTGAACGCTTAAAAACTATGTTATTATAAAGTTTAGAGCTATGTTTGAGCTCCTGGTGCTCTCCATTTGGAGATTCCCTTCCTTGTAGCCATCTGCATTCGGATTCCTTGGATTCCCAGATCAGCATCAGAATTTTGGCGGGTGCTAGGAGCTCTCCGCGTTCTTCTTCTTCAGCGTCTCCATGACGCCGGCGAAGTTGGCCGTCTTCTTTTTGGCCGACTTGGGCGTGGAGGTCTGGCTGCGGACGCGCATTTGGGTGGGGGCCACCTCGTCGCTGAAGTCGAAGTCGTTGGCCTTCTGGGGTCTGCAAATGGAGGTGGATTAGATGTCATGTTAGGTGACTCAAAGTTTGTATATCCTACTCCTGCTCAATGGCATCTGTGGCCTGCTCCAGTTCCTTGCTATTTCCGCCGGATGCTGCCTCCGGCGATGGAGCCCTACGTCCTGGGAATTGCCACTGCAGCTCCGGGATGTTTCCCGCCTCCAGCATCAAATAATAGCTCTCCAGCTCCTCGGCATTGGCGGAAAACTTGTCCGCCGTATTCGCCGCCGGCTCCACATCGGTGGCCATCCCGGATTTGATCACTTTTCCGTAAAATATGTACTGCTATTTCCGAATTTTCTCGTAAAAATCAAGAAAAATCGATTTATTGGCTCGGGTGATTGTTCGATAACTACGCTATCGATTGGCGGGAACAGTGTTGTTAAACGGCGAAGCTGGGCGGCATATTCGAATTGCGGTCGCTGCCCAAAATGGTTTTTCTATTTTTAGCCTTCTTTATGCACTTGAGTGCACACCCATACCCGGAATATTTCGGTTCTACGTATGGAGATCTCTCCAGGCAGCCTCTCGATGCCCAATTGCTTGTTTTGGGGCAGGAAAACAATAAACTGGTACACTTTTCAGGGAAAAATATATGAAAATCAAAGTTTTAAAAATAAGTTTACTAATTTTTACTATTTAAAGCAAGTTGTTTTTCCATTATTTCATTTTATAATATAATAAATTTCATATATTTGTAAATAAAATGTTTTTTTAATTATTTGTTAAATATTTTTGATACTATTTTGCATTGTTTGTTTGCCTGTTTAGTCAATATTTAATTTTAGATGGTCCAATATTGAGAATAATAAGATTATTGATCCAAAAATATAATTAAAAACATAGAAAAAATAAATCGAAATATTTCTGTTACCCTTTTTTCGTTTGATTACAATATTATAAGAAACGTATAACAAATTCTAAGAATTTTGAAGAAGTATACTTGATTACTTTTTAGCCACGTTAAAAATTAATCAATTTCTTTGGGGATTCAGGGAAACTTTTGCTTACTATATTTTTGCAGGCAGCTGAAATAGATAATACATGACCACAGATAAGGCCCGACCTTCTGTACAAAAAGCCATCGATTATTCATTTTATTTGTATTTATTTACTTTGTGATTACTAAATTCTTAGAACTTTATTCAAAATCATCCTCGCCGTCGTGCTGCCGCTCCTGCTGCTCCATCCGCTCCTGCTCACATATCATATATCTCAGTTGATCTGATCTGATCGTCTCCACAACCGATTGATGCCGGACACGGATATCCCTGTGGTGTTCCTTGTTCCTCGTTTCTCGTTTCTACCGATCCTGCTGATCCTTCTCTTTGTGGCTGGCTGTTTAGCGTTCTTTTCTATGACTTACACGTACCATACATATACATAAGTATTATTATTATTATTATTATTATTATTATAATTATTATATTGTTGTTTGCTGTTTGCTTGCTTTGTATACTCGTATATAAAAAAGAATAATCGTACATATTTAATTTAATTAATTAAAAACACAATTTGATTGCAAAAAGAAAGGTTTCTACAATACGTAATTAAATACGGATACGTCCTGATCGTTGGTATTGTTGCCACCGCCGCCGCCTCCGCCACCGCGATTGGATGAGCCGGAGGATTTGTTGGAGCCGTGGGCGGCGATGGTCAGCTGGTTGGCCTGATGGATCACCGAGGTGATGTCGCTCTGCGACGCCGAGATGTCCTTGCTGGTGAGCACATCGCTGCTACTCGAGCCGGATGAGATGTGTCGCTCGGCGATGCCGTACTGGATCGGCTGATAGCCGTGACTTGGATTGTACGTGGCCGAGTATGGCATATAGATGGGCGGGTTCGGCAGCGGCCCGATGTCGCTGGTGATGCTCTCGGTGTCGGCATGGCTCAGCGCATGGCCGCCATGCCCGTGCGGCAGCTGGTGCGGATGCAGGTGGCCCTGGCCGCGGCCCATAAGATTCGGATTGCGCTCCTCGTTGACCACGTAGTAGCACTGCTCCGAGAAGGTCAGCTTGTTGACCGTATGCTTGATGTAATTGCTCCGCAGCATGGCCGAGACGATCCGTCGCGCCTCCCGCCTATCCTGCACATCCTCCACATTCTCCAGCACCCAGTTGACCGCATCCGCGCCAATGAACGCATTCGGTATGGTGATCTTTAGCCACATGCGATCCCTGATCTCCAGACCGCTGTCCGGCTTCGTCATCGCCTTGACGATCTCCTCGAGGTTGTTCTGGTCCAGTCGCTCCTTAATCGGCTCCGCAATGTCGGCGATAATACTGTCGTGCGATGTGAGGGCCTGGGTGTGCGCCACCCAGGCGCCGGGATCAATTGGTCGCACCGGCTCCGTGCGCGGAATGGTGAAGTAGCCCTTGGGATTGGGATCCCAGCACTTGGCCACCACCAGCTTGATGGGACCCGGCTTCTGCACCACTTCGCGCAGCACCCGCACCGCCTCGTCATTGGTCATGTTCTCGAAGTTCACATCGTTCACCTGCAGGATCATGTCGCCCGGCTCGATGCGTCCATCCAGCGCAACGGCGCCGCCTTTCATGATGCTGCCCACATAGATGCCGCCATCGCCGCCGCGATTCGATTGGCCAACAATGGAGATGCCCAGAAAGTTAACGGCCTCCATGTTGATGGAGACGGTGATGATGTTCAGCGACATGGTCGAGTCGGTTATGGAGCTGTACGAGGAGGTGCGCGACATGCTGGGCGCCCGCTTTTTGCGCCGCTGCGGCTTCTTGCGCACCTGCAGCCGCTGCACACTGCTGTAGTCGGTCATGTCGCGGTCGAGGGTCAGTTCGGACTCGGTGCCAAAGAGGCTGGTCGAGTCCAGATCGCTGGATAGCACGGAGGCCGACTGATATGTGAGCGGTGGCGGCTGCAGCAGCGGATTGCCCATCATCTTCTGGTGATGCAGCACCTGCTGCTGCTGCTGTTGTTGCTGCTGCGCCAGCTGGACAGGCTGCACCTGCTGTTGCTGCTGCTGCTGTTGTTGCTGCTGCTGTTGTTGTTGCTGCTGCTGCTGCTGGATCTTCCTGGTGGTCAGGCCCATGCCCAGCTCGCACTCACTGGTGGGCAGCTCGGAGCAGTTGTCCGACTGATTGGTGCCATCGGCGGAGACCAGCCACGAGACCACCCGGCCATTGAAGCAGGGCAGTATGGTGGAATCATCGGCAATCTCCTCCTTGACCACACCGAAATCCGCATCCATGGACTTGAAGAAGTACTTGTAGTTGTTGTTCTGCTTGTTGAGCACCAGCTTGAAGTCGCGCAGCGTCACCTGGGCCGATGGAATGGGGATCTTCACCAGATACGGCGTCGTCTCATCGTCGATGTGGTATATCACCTTCGTCTCCTGCCCGCCGCCCCTGTCCGCATCCATTTTTCCTGCTCCAAATGGAGGAGGGGGGCACAAAATATGTGGGATAAGTTCGGAGCAAAAAAAAACACTGGTTGGGTGCGGGGTAGGCGGTACACCCAGGAGGACTGGCTAACTTGGTGGACAGGAGGAAAACCCTTTTCCGAAAATCAAATCACTCGAATTCGCTTTTCTCCCCCTGGTGTCGCTCTTGCCCTCTCGCTCTCGCACGCGTTTCTTTTCCCTTTCTTTCTCTTTTTTTTGGGCTGGGTGTTCGCTGTTCAATGGAAATAGCGAATGCGAATGCTATTTAATTGGCAAGGCGACTGCTCCATGGGCTCGATTTCTAGCGCGTTAACATACGGAGCACGAATTTCGTTGGCGAGACGAGCATATTGCCAGTTATTCGCTGGTTTACCAATAATTTTGTTAGAATTTTGAGACTAAAAAAAACTGACCGACAAATGATAGAGATGGAACTGTGATACATCGATAAGTTAACACGGTCATACTGAGGCGGCAGGAGGGTGTACTGGCTGGCCTAGCGGAGACAATCACCTAATTTGTCGGGGTATATTTCCGGATTTTGTACCTAAAAATGCCAAAAATATTCCAAACGGTCACGCTGAAATGCTGGAATGGTCTTAGTTTCGTAAAAAAAACAAAACAAAAAGGATACAATTAATTTAATAAAACGTAACTTAAGCAACATTAAAAAGCCGAACAAATTGTAACGAAACCAGTGATAAACTAAACAACTGCACACACTCACGCAAACAAACGAAAATGTGATGTTAAGTGTGAGTAAAAAACCAATGGAAAACCCAAAGGAGTGTGCGTGTGCCAGAGAATGTGTGTGTGAGTGCGCGTGAAGTGCGAATAAAGTGTGAAGAAGAGAAGGCAAATGAGCGGCGCCAGTTAAAAAATATAAACAATTAAATAAATATATATTATATACGAATGTGGGTGCATATTTCCAATAGTTAGCCAGAGGGGAAATGGAAAACAAAAGAACTAGTTCCCTTTGCCCTGGGAGTGTGTGCGTTTGTGTGGAAGAGAGGATTCCAGCTGCCTTTGTGTGTGGATTTTATTTTTTTATTTTATAATATTTTATTGTGCGGATATTTTTTAACCCCTGTTAGCCCTTTTTTGTGGGAGTGAGCATGTGTGTGTGCGTGTGTTTTCAACCCCCAAGAAAGCGTTCACCACCCCCCGACCGCCGCCCGGCGAAAATCACTGAGCATTAAACCACCCACCACCCCCCAAAAAGGAAAAAACGAAACGAATTATTTTTCCCATTGAAAATTTTCTTCCAAGGTGATGATGTTTTCTTCTTCTCCATCACATCTTCCTCTTCTTCATTCCAGGAGCAGCGCACGAAAAAAGGGAGAAACAAGCGAGAGAGAGAGAGCAATTCAAAAACTGTCGAAATAAAACGGCCCCCTCCCTTTCCCCGCCCCCCGCTGCGAGCCCCATCGCACGGTGGGTCATCCAAGTTAAATGTCTCAACAAAACTTTTTTTATTTTGGAAAAAATAATAACAAAATTGTAATTTTATTCATTAAAACACCGTACCTAGTGATATCAAATTTCGCACCTAATTTCTTAAGGGCTCCACTGAAATAGTAGTCCTTGTTTCTTCGGCTTTTCGCCCCACTGTGCATCGCATGACGCTCAACCACTGAGGCTAGCGCTCTCTCTTTCGCTCTTTCGCCTTTCGGCTATATGTCGTCCTTCTCGCACACGCCGCCTGCCTTTGCCTTTCGGAGTGTTTCTTTTGTGCCTATTTCCGCTTGTTAGGTCAGCCCTCCCCTTCCCCCTCTCCATCGTCATCCCCTTTTTGTGCTCCCTTTTTGGGCTCCAAGTTCTGGCAGTCCTTTAGGCACAGTGGTGTTCAAAATAATAGAGGTTGTTCTTAAAATTAAAATAAAATTATGGAAATTAGAATGTCGATTTTTGTACACCTGCTAATCGATTAAAACAGCAATACACACCTAAACGATTTTATTTTTCAATAAAAATTAAAATTCTTTTCACAATTAAATCCTAATCCCATTTTGCTTGACCGCTGCTGTATATTTTTGTTTTGCGCTGTGTGCTAGAATTAAGTTGTGTGTCAGTGTGTGGGTGTGAAGCAAGGGTAAGAAAGGCAAATAAAAGGCAAAGGACAATAACTAAATTGGATGGGGGCTTTAAGAAATGGGAATAAAAGTAAGGTTGTTTCGCGTATGATCCAACCGAAAACCAATTAACTTTTGAATATTGTGCAAAATAGCGCGCCTCTCGTTCGTTTACCAACACTGCCCGCCGAATGCAACCCTGTTCAAACACAAACACGCACACAACCAAGCGCAAAGAGACCCAGGGAGGCAAAAATTCACACACAAGCAAATATTTTTTTGTTATTATTGAACAGTGGAGAACAGCGCAAAAAAGAAAAAAGCGAGCTTACGAATGCGAAAAGCAAAGCGGGTGTGTGGAAAACGGCAATACAACAACAAAAGGCGTGGGGGGAGAGCCAAAAGAAAATTATTATCGCGGGTGCGGGGGAGCAAAATCGGCAGAGGAGCAAGAAGAAGCAGCAGAAGAACCAGAGAAGGAGAGCAAGAAGAAGAAGAAGCAGCGCAGCCGCTAATTGTCGCGTCGTTCGTTGTTGTTGCTGCCTTGCGAAAAACCGAAAAGGAAATTGCAAAAAAACGGGCAAATAATAAAATTAAACAAATGGAATTGTTAACAAGTTGAAAAGCAAAAGAAACCTAAAGATTCGAACAAGAAACAGCGGCGAAGGAAACGGCAAAAAGGGGAACCAAACGAAAAGGTCAAAAATGTGAGCGAGAGAGAGAGAGGAGAGACTTCCCCAAAAAACCGAAAGAAAAATGGAGCAAAAGTGAAAAACCCGTGTGTGTGTTTGTATGAGCGTGTGTGTGTTTGTGTGGGGGAAAAGCTAAAATTAATTTTTTGTTTTTATTTCCAAAGGCGCGCGCCTGTGTGTGTGTTTGTGTGTGTGGGTGGGTGGAAAATCCGATTTCGTAAAACGCATTTAATTGTTAACAACAACAAAAACGTGTGTAATTTACCTGATTTTTTCAATATCATTCACAGTTAGTAATCAAATTGCACAAAATGCGAGAGATGAGAGCAAATCAATAATAATAATAACAAAAAGGAAGGAGGAAGGAGCTAAAGTAACGACGGCAGCTGTACAAGTGTGTGTGTGTGCGTGAGAGACAAACAACAAAAAGAAAAGAGCTAAATTTTTTTAAATAAAAATGTGGAAATCAAGCAAGGAAACAACAAAAGCTAAAACAACAACAACAACAACAACGATAGCCAGGAGCAGCGCAGCCAGCAGCGACGTCGACGCCAGCGTCGCCGCATGGAAAGCTCAAAAAACCGCATGACAAGGAAATGGAAAATTTTTGTGCAGCCCAAAAAACCAAATGTGAACATAAACGGAAGGCAAAAAGCGAGGCGTTGAGCGAAAGAAAAACAAAACAAAACAAAAAAGGTGTGCTTGTGTTTTCCAATCCAAAATAATATTAATAATAATAATAATAATAGAGGCGAAGGGAAAAGCGGCAAACAAAAGAATAATATCCAAAAGCGGAAGAGAATGATAAAATAACAAAAAGAAGCAGAATCCAAGAAATAATAACTAAAGAAGAAGCACAGCAAAAATTTTAAAAGAAGAAGCGGCAACTTAAAAAATATACAATTGTTTATAATGGCAGCTTTAAAATAAAAATTGTAAAAAAACCGCTAGAAAGAAAATGAGAAAAAAATAAAATCTAAAAAGGAAGCCGCCTAAACTTTTAAACAACAAAAATAAGCATCTTTGGCAGCTAAAAACAACAAATTGTAAGTAAAAACAAATTAGACTTAAATATTTAACTTAGTCTCCAAAATATAAGTGATGTTAATATATCTAAAAGCATAATGAACTTATAAAATATTTAAACCTAAGGTTTTGATAAAACCCAAAAGATATTTTTGACATCCTAATTGCTCGATTTTTATATAGTTTAGGATTGTAACTAAAGGCATTATCGTAAATATTCACTATAAAATATTTAATCCTGAGGTTTTAATAAATCCTAAAACATTTTTACAATCCTAAGTGCCTAATTTGTATAAATTTTAGAACTGTAACTAAAGGATTTTTCATAAATATTCACTACCATACCCTTTCTAAAGTAAAATAAATGTATTTGAAAGATATTTCACTTGAAACTTATGAATCTGTATATAAATATAAAACTTATAATCTTTTTCTTTCTACTTTTCAGGTAACTATATATAAAATAAATCTGAAGAGGACGCCAAAGCAGCCACCGCATCCTGAGCAGCTCAACAGGAAGTGAGTTAAAGAAGAAGTTATGAAACAAATTTCAGACAGTTCTAACTTGATTTACTTACTTACAGATATAAATCGGTAAAATATATATAAAGTAATATATAGTGCTGCCATGGCCAGCAGCGGGACAAACGTCGACGGCGGCAGCGGTACGTCGGCGGCGCTGCCATCGCTCTTCCCCGCCGTCGGCGCCGCTGCCGGCGTCAAGGATATGGACGGACTGATGGCCATTAACGATAGCGCCCTATCGCAACAGATCGAATTTATACTGCAGGATGCTCCCATGGAGCAGGACGACGATCCTCACCAGCATTCGCATGTGCATCACCATCACCAGCACTCGTCGCATTCACATTCGCATCACCATCCCCACTCGCATTCGCATCAGCAGCAGCAGCATCTCCATCAGCAGCAGCAGCAGCAACACCATCATCCGCACCATCATCTGAAGCTGGAAAGCAGCAGCAACAACCACCCACCGACAGCAGCAGCAGCAGCGGCAGCAGCAGCAGCAGCAGTAGCAGTATCAACAACTGCATCAGCCACTGTGGCAACAGCAGCAGCAGTTGCAGCAGCATCAACAAACAACAGCGCTTCCTTCAGCAACAACAGCAGCAGCAACACTAACAGCAACAATAGCAATCACCTTGAAAACCAGCAACAGTTGCTAGCAATCCAGCAGCAACATCATCTTTTGAATGGTCGCCGCATTATTATCCAAGCAACGGGTAACTCATCCGTTTTGGCCGCCAGCGATATCAAGGAAGAGGATGAAGAGGAGGAGGATCCCGAGTTAAACGATGAGAATCTTCAGGATATCGAAGAGGAGGCTCAGGCAGCAGAGGCGGATGAGGAACCCGAAAGTACCACGCAGCATTTGTCCACACATGTTAAGCTGGAGCTGGAAGACGATGAGGAAATGCCCGACGAGGAGGAGGATGAGGATGAGGAAGATGATGAGGAGCAGCAGCAGCATGGCCAACTGGAGTACCAAATTAGTGCAAGCACGGGAGGAGCGACAAGTAGCGCTGGTGGGGCCGCAACAGCTGGGGGATCACAACAATTGGTTCAACTGCCCGCCGGGAGTATTGTGAGCACCACCACCCACCGATTGTCCGTTCCCGTGACCGAGGCGGCCCTTGTCCAGCTGCAACGGCGACCTGTTTACATAAGCAATGCTGTCGGTGGCCTGACAGCTGGCACAACCTATGTGAGAATGCCAGCGGCGGCGGTTATCAGCCGGAGTCCCATGACGGTGCTGAATGTTGTGCAACAGGCGTTGCCGGCCACTCAGTTGATATTGCAAACACAGCAGCAACAGACACCGACGGCAGCGGCGGCCGCGGCCGAGCAGCAATTGGCCTTGGCCTTGGAACAACAGAGGCAGCAGCAAGAGCAGCAGGCGGCCCAGCAACAAAGGCAGCAACAGCAAGAACAGCAAAGGCAGCAACAGCAACAGCAGCAGCAGCAGCAGGCGGCGCAACAAGAACAGCAGAGGCAGCAGCAGGCGCAACAGCAACAACAGCAGCAGCAGCAGCAACAAGCGCAACAACAGCAAAACCATCCAGTGAAGCATTCAGCATCCAGCTCTTCCACCACCAACAACAATAGCAACACAAACTCCACCACCAACAGCAGCAGCGGCAGCAGCAACAGCAGCAGCAACAATAACCCACCGGCGGCAACTGTGACCACCAGTTACCAGTGCGTCGAGTGTGTGGAAAAGTTCGATTCCAAGGAACTCTTCGACATCCATCGCAGTGGTCATGCCAATAACATGAAGTGCGCCATCTGCAACATGGTGTTGAAGTCCCTGAAGAACTATGAGAAGCATTGCCTGCGCTGCAAGCCGTACGAGTGTCAGATTTGCGGTCGAGTTGTTCGCTTCCGGCCGAATTTTATCAAGCACATGCGTGTGCATACGGGTCAGCAGTCAGAGCGGCACAAGTACAAGTGCGAGGTGTGCCACAAGGAGTTCATGAGCTTTGAGTACTTCAAGGTGCACAAGAAGATCCACAACGAGAATGTGAACCTCACCTGCGAGATCTGCGGCAAGGTGTTCAGTGCTCTGGCCTCGCTGCGAGGTCATTCGAAGCTGCATTCGGGAGTCAAACTGCACAAGTAAGTATAATTACTTTAATATCCGTTTTTTTCATATTTTGTTGGGTTTCGTAGAATTTCATTAGCTAGAAGTTCTAAAGTGTATTATTTTTGGTTTCTCACTAAAACGTATATGTGTTTCCCCTCACCTTTTCAGATGCGACGTATGCGGCAAGGGCTTCGGCCAGCGCTACAACCTGAAGATCCACGCCAGGACGCACACGGGTGACTTCCCCTTCGAGTGCAAGATCTGCAAAAAGAAGCTGCACACGCAGTCCTCGCTGCAGACGCACATGCAGGTCCATCTGAGGGATCAGCCTGGTGGAGCGGCAGCCGCGTCTGCAGCCGGAGCCACCCCATCGAAGGCCAGCAATAGCAGCAATTCGAGCAACGGCAGCAACTCCAGCAGCAGCAATTCGAGCAGCAACAGCGCAACGGCAGCGGCGGCGGCTGCAACAACGACGATTGTGAAGCTGGAGCCGCCGCACGAGATGGAGAGACCCGGCACCAGTAGCAATCAGCAGCAGCAGCAGCATCTGCAGCACCACCAGCACCAAATGGAACTGGACGAACAGTCGGGACTGAGCGGGGATGAGGAGGATGGCAGTGGCGGCGGTATGAACTCCTCCTCGCACATTGTGAACGCAACCACCAATCGCTTGACCACCGGCGAGGACTCATCGGAGTCCTCGAATGCCTCGCTACACCTGAACCAGCACTCCTCCACCTCATCCTCGCCAGCCTCGCAGCACCAAATGTCGCATCCGCAGCATCAGGTGCACCAACAGCAGTCGTCGCAGCAGCAATATCTTGTTTCGGCGCCAACACGAACGATCGTCATCAAGAACTACATGCAGCAGGGATCTCAGCAGCAACAGACCTCCGATCCAACGCCCGTGCTGCATGCACAGGTCATCCAGAGCGGTGCAGGCACCAGCAACGGCAGCGGCAACACCTCCACCAACAGCAGCAGCAACAGTAGTAGCAACATTGTCACCAGCAACGCCGGCGGCAATCTCAGCAATGGCTCGCAGTTGATACGAAAGACGCCGATCATTCATCATTCGACCGGGAGCAGCAACGCTGGGTCAGCGCTGACCAGTGTGGTGCAGCAGACAGGTGGTAAGTGGTTTTCGGTTACTTCAGGTATTAATTAATAAGAAAATTAATGTTTCCATAAATAAATGAAATGAAAACTTGAAGTTTTCTAGCGGGAAATAATGAAAATAAGTTTTAAGAAGTCCCATAAACCACCTGCACTCATATCCTTTAATGTTTGCTTTGTTCATCTTGCAGTTATTTCGCCCGCTCAATCGCCATCGTCATCCTCGACCTCTTGCTCCTCATCCACGGTGCTGGTGTCCAAGGCCACCGGTGTGCCTCTATCCATAGCTTCCTCGGCGGCGGCTGCTCTGGGTGCCTCGACGATTATACGCAGCACGAGGAACCACCAGCAACAGCAGCAGCAGCAGCAACAAGCCCAACAACAGCAACAGCAACAGCGGGTTACGCAGCGCAACAACCACCGAAATCACCACCGACGTCGTCATCTGGCGGACATGGATGACGATGAAGACGAGGACGACGATCAACAACACCAGCAGCAGCAGCATCAGCACCAGCACCAGCAGCAAACGCAACATGCCCAACAGCAGCAGCATCTCCATCACCACAACCATCACAATCATCATTTCGATGACGATGATGACGATGAGAAATCATCACCGTCCCTGGCCACAGCGGCCATTATCAAAGTGGAACCGAATCTATATTCCTCGGGCTCTGGCGACAACTCCAACGATATGTTCATCAAGGAGGAGGTGATGTTTGAGGATTCGGCGGCCCTGCATTCCCCACAATCGCCGCCAAGTTCGAAATTCCGTATATCGAACTTTGATGGTGACTTGGTTGATCATCATGTCGATCTGAATCATTCGCTGCCGCCGTATGGTAATCTATTTGAACCGCATTCGATACCGGACAGCATACCGGTGCAGCTTTATCCTGACGATGACGATGACTTCCGGCTGGATCATAGTTCGCTGGGTGGACTCCACAACACAACGTCGTCGTCGACCACCGATGGGGACTTTATCAAAAAGGAATGGGTCTACGGCACGGGTACCAGTTCCTATGCCATGAACGGCAAGTTCGATGACGACAGCGATGCCCTATGTGATGCGGCCAATTTCATTTACAATTGAGTGCAGGCAGCTGCCGTTGTGGTAGATCATCATCGTCATTGTCATTGGAAACTGAAGAGGAATCCGCGTAGTCGAGTGAAGCAGGTGGTTGGGCAGGAGGATCACCAGCAGCAGCAGCAGCAGCATCAGCAGCAGGAGGATGAAGAGCGGGATGTGGAGGAGGAACATGAACAGGAACAGGATCAGCAACGCAATGTTCTGCGACGCGTCCACGATGCAGCCATGTGGAGCTGAGGATTCAGTTTACCCAGACTCAAAGCTGCATAACGTATATATTACACATGTCCCCCCGATCCAACCCCACATTTACCATTTACACACACCACACCATATACAAAACACATCCAAGAGGGTGAATCGATTTGCGTAGGGTGCAAAAACCAATTTATGAACAATTCTAACTGATTTCGCTGTAAAAACTTTAGAGCTAATAACGTTTTTAAGCTGCTCGAAGCAAGAAAGGTTTTATTCACGCAAAACGCTGCAGGGAAATGTCTAATTAATGCAAGAGGCATCAAGAAAATAATTAATTTGTGCAAAACACAGATGTCAAGTGTGTAATAGCATATACCAATTTGTACTATATGGACTTTAAAAACTATAGATTTTCTAGAAGTATTAGTTTTGAGTGATTTATCAGCTGGTTTTTAAATATCTGGTATTATTCAAAAGAAAAAAATGAATTTTTTTTAAGCCCAGTTTAAAACTTTCACCAATTTGATTGTAAAAATTATATATTTAAGATTTTATTTTGACATACCCAAAAGATAGAAAGATATTGGGCTTATTTTTGGTTAAGAGGAAATGTGAAGTTTAGCTTAAAATCAATATTATAACTAAAGTTTTAAAGGCCAAATTATTTTGAATTATCCATAGAAGACTCTTCCTTAATGTTCAATTCCTTTTATTTGCAACGCAATCAGGTCGAGCCACCCTAATATATATATATATATTGCTAATATATATAGTACACATACTTATCCTATATGTCCACCATATAGAAAATTTGCTATCTCTGTTGCGCTCGTGATGATCTTATAACGTGATCTTAAGTCTAAATCAATGTGTAAAATGTAATTTTTGATTTCAACTTGCTTCCGTTTCCGTTCCCAGTGTGTAATTTTTCTCCCATTTCCGTTTGTTGTAGTTGTTTATCTTGTCTCTCGCTCTCTCACTCTGTGTGTCTTTGTCTCTGTTGCTCTCGTGTCCCCTCTGTCTCACTTCCTGTCTCGCTCTGATCTGTTTATAAGAAGTGTATACAAATTTCGCCCCACTTTTAGTGTAAACAAACTAAAAAAAAAAAAAAAAGAAGAAAATCTCAAATGAACTTGTAACTTGATGTGAAACACGAATTGTATATTATAAGTTTTATTTTTTACATATCATTTACCTTTATTACATATACAAATCTCTGTTTTAGCTTTCCGTATGGCTCAGCACATTGTATTCTCTATTGCGAACCCTAATTTTAGTTGTATAGTTTTGCATTTGATCTCTCGGCTTTAGTTTTTGCATTCAAAACGAAAGAAAATTCAGTTCCTGTGTAATGACAAAGATAACTCGAGAAATTGTATTATAATTTAATGGACTAGGCAATCAATGTGCTGCCTTCATATGGAAAGATGATGTACCAACCATATCTCTCTGTCACTCGAGGATCCTACAGTATTGGCTCCCAAAATCGAATCAAAAAGAAAGAAAATAAGTGAAAACTGCTTTATTTTAGCTTATCGTTTTTTTTTTAAATATTTTTGATTAACACCCTGTTTTCACTTACCTAAAGCGCAGTATTTGTTTCATATAATTCGAGAATCCATATACATTTTTTGCATAGTTAGTTTGTAAAAGGATAAGGTATTTTTTTGAATTTTTATTAGCAGTTCTAATGTGCAATCTCCCCCATCACTGATCTTTGACCTCTTTCTCACCTTCGCTCAAACACCTTGTGGTTTCCTTAATTAGTTGCTAAGTACCCAATCACACGATTACATATAACACCCAAACGATGTATGATTATGATTTGCATTACAATATACTATAGATAATCTGTAGCTAAGTATAAGCCTGATTTCTGTGTAGTCTCTAAGCTGAAAGAGCATGCTTTAGCTTTAGCTTTACCCTAACATACGAAACTGCATAAGCATACGAATATATAACATATATATATAGCCGCTGTACAATTACTTGATCTTTAGCATTAACACTTGACAACTTTTCATTTGCATTTACATCAACAATTGTTTGTGTATTCTTTTCGTTTTTCGAAAATTAAAATTTATCTAAAACAAATATATATATAGCCATGAAATATATATATATATAGAGATATATATCTGGATGGGGAATCGGATACAATAAAGGAGGAGAAAAAGAATCCACATAACAAAAACTTCTATCAAAAGCATTTAATGTTAACAATATAATGAATAAAAATCTATATAAATTAATTAATTAAATTATAAATGTATAACAAACAAGTTAGCCAACAATTGTAAAACGTAGCTGAAAGAGTTTACTTTTTTTCTGTGTGTAGCATGGAAGGAAAAGCATATTTAACCGATTTTTCGTTTCTATTGAGAATTTTCCTTTTGCTTTTTTGTGCTTAATAATAATAATTGTTGTTGCTTGCCATTTTGTTTGTTACTAAAAGAAAATAATTATATAACAAGAGCCGTTAATCATAAAAACACACAAAACACTCAAACACATAGACACATTGAAAAGCTCAAAGGAAAAACGCGCAAAGAGAAAATGTTTTTGTTTTCCAAATGAACAAAGAAACATTATTTATGGATTTGTCTTCCGCACGAGTTAAAAGTTCAATTTGAACGATGTACAAATTTCCAGTTTGAAGAAATCGATATAAAGTTGTTGAATTCAAAGACCCGTTGATAAATTCTAAGGCCCGCCCCTTTTCCAACCATTTTTCGAAAAAAACTAAGCATTTTAACAAGCAATTGAATTTCGATTTCAACGATGTACAAATTTTCAGAGTTGATTAAATCGATAACCAGTTATTTCGATAAACCCCTCTCCCTTCTCCAATATTTTTTTCGTGAAAACTCCGATTTTTAGGAAGCAATAAAAACGAGACAAAACAGGTGGGAAAACCCCGAGGAAAACCTCTCGGAAAACTCATCGTTCACTGCCCCTCACGCCTTCTCTACGCCCCCCTCCCCTTTTCAATACACCGAGAGCAATCAAGGGAAAATAAGAAAAAAAAAACTTAACCCAAAATCATTTTCAGTTACACCGAAAGAAATCAAGGAAAAACGCGAATTTTTGTACATTTGCAGAAAGAAGAAGAAATAAATATTGTAAGATTTAATAAATCCAAAAACCAAACTCCAAAAATACTATTTTATATACCAAACAACAAAAGGATAAAAAACGATGATTAACAAAAACCCAACAACTTTGCACCACAACAACAACAACCAACTAAATTTTTAAAAATTTAATCTCAACGACTGCGCACACAACAACAAACAAATTTTTTGTATTATATTAAAAAATGGGAAAAAAACAACAAAAAAACGTAACTTTAAATAAGATCGAAGAGGAAACGGGTGAAGCGAAAGATAGAAAGCAAAGTGAAATATTTTTTTAAGTGTAAACCAGGCCGGTCAAAAGGCTTGGGCGCCAAATTTTCTGCAATAAAATATTTAATAAAGTAATATTGTAAACTTTATAGTGTACACACACACAAAAACACCTTAAATTAGGATCGAAAATGGATATATAATTGTGAAGCCAAGAACAGTCCAATTAAAAACACATTCACACAAATTAAATGTGGTTTAGTTGTCTTCTTTTTTTTAAACATAAAAGTACCTAAAAATCAAATAATTGAAAAGAAAAATTAAAAATTTGAATAAAACTAATTTCTATGTGTCTCCCCTGTGTGTAACTTTGCAAAATCTAAATTCTTGAAACAAAAATTAAAAAAAACAACACATAATCATATTAACACAAGGAAAAAACTGAAACAAATTAAAATTAAAAAAAAAAAAATTGTAACTAAGCAAAAGTATAATTATTTTTAAAGGGAAATCAATTTGTTATGCACAAAAATATATATGCAGAAAGCCAACTTTTTAAGTTACGAATTTGTTAAAGGATCTAAGGAGTAGAAGAAAACCCGACTTTTTAAAGCATTTTCGAGAAATATTGAGGAAAAAACCGAACAATTTCAATCTGAACAACAACATAAAGCCCACGAAAGTATATATATTATATATAAATAAAGGTAAATAAATATATTTAAATAAATTATCTATAAACAGAAACGGTAAAGTAAATTAAACAAATCGTATTTATACACTATGAATGTCTAGTCGTATTTTCAGTATTATGTAAACCGCCCCTCCCTTTTTCCTACCCCCACCCCCCCCAAAAAAAAAAAACACCGTAAAAATATAAAAAAAAAAACTATAGAAAGCTAAGCTAAATGAATGTGAAATGAAAACAAAAAACAAATTTTTGAAAATGCAAACTAAAAGCAAAAATTTAATATAAACCAGAAATTATGTGTGTAGCGTGTACAATAAAACAGAATTAACAAAATATGGTAAACAATTTTTAGAAGCATTTTTAACACATATGGGAAAACCAAACTTAACGTTTACATAACGACGATGAAGTGCAAGCGCAAAATTAAACGAAATGTGTCTGTTTTTAGTGTTAGAGTCGATGTAAGCGAAACCACAATAAAAAAAGAACATAACAAGAAATCATATATATATATTATATACATAAAGATCATAACGAATTACTAAATCAATGTGTGTAAACGAACGGAAGAGATTTTAAGAGGGCAGGTGTGTTTAGATTCCGTTCATCATTATGTTTCTAGTTCGGTTTTCGGTGTCCTGACATAAGTTCCCTATCCTGGATTCTGAATACTTGAAAAGAGGCCCATAATTTCGGGTAATATCATATTGAAAGTAATATTATCATGGGTTCTTATGTCGGCGTTGTATGTATTTGAAAATATCTATATTTTTTTATTACTCTTAGTTTTTGTGTATAAAAATGCAAATGAAATATTACAAACAAAAAAAATCAACAAGTATGTTTAAATGATTTAATCTTAGTGCATAATTTTATTAACCATTATTATTATTTCTCATTTTAATAGTTAACATATACTGGATCTTTGTTTCTTAACTTAACGCCAACAAAAATGAAAATATATATTTTGTCAGAGTATAATTTGTGTTTTGATTTACTTGCGTTTTTAACTTTAATTCCCAGACGGGGTGGTTCATATCAGATATAAAGTATACAACTTTTTGTATATAAGTATCTATATGCGTATATAAATGTAAAGAGAGAGAGAAAGTTGTGTGAGAAAGAGAAATGGAAATTAAAAAAATTAAAATTGGCGCAATTTGCTCAACATATTAAGGGAAGATGCATCTTAAAAAAACATAAATCACATTTCAAGAGAAGTTACTTTCCCTGTTTTCCCGTTTTCTTTAATTAATAGTGGAAATTTTAAAGAATTTAGTTTAACTTATAAAAAGAAGTAGCCGAAGCAAAGCCATTATAAACTACTCGAGTAAAATTGAATAAAGAACAACAAACACATATATTCAAATTCATGATAATAACAGAGAATAATTAAAAAAAGAAACACATAAAACCAAAAGAAACCAAAAACAATCTAGATTTTATTGTAATTCCGTGTCTGTGTGTGTATTTCAGTAATTAATGTAAAAAATATAAAAATTAAAACAAACAAAAAAAAAACACAAAAATCCAACAATAATATCGACAAGATCAACACGAAAAATGGAAGAAAATCCGAACAAAAAAATTGTAAAAACGAAATGAAAACCTCTGAAAAAACACTGAACATAAAAAATGAAGGACAAACATAAAGAAACTAGCGAAATAAATAAAATACAAAATATTTGAAAATAAACGATCAAGTGTGTCCCATTATTTGAATTTTCAATGGAGTTTATTATAATAAAGACACAAAAAGGAAAAAAGGAAAAATTAAGGGTATCAGCGCACAACCCAAAAATGCACTTCTAAATTTCCCAACTTGGGTAATTGGATCCTGATTTAGACGTGGGATACCTCTATGAATTTGTGGGTAAATTCTCTGATAACGTACATTGAAAGTTTTCTTTTTACCGAGAGTCACATTTTTAACCCATTTGCATGTTCAATTTTTCCGTGTTTCCAATAGCTTTCAGAATGGGACCCAAAATCTGATTTTCCATATTCCATAACTTGAGTTAGGGAATTCCGATTTAGACGTGGGATACCTATTTGAATTCGTAGTTAAATTCTCTTGTATTCTACATTTAAATATATCTATTACAAGAGGATCCAAATTTTAACCCATTTTCATGTTAGATTTTTCCATATTTCAAATGGCTTTCAGAATGGGAACTCAAAATCTGCCCTTCTAAATTCCATAACTTGAGTTAGGGAATTCCGATTTAGACGTGGGATACCTCTATGAATTCGTAGTTGAATTCTCTTATATTCTTAAATTTATCTATTACAGAAGGGTCCAAATTTTAACCCATTTTCAAGCTCGATTTTTCCGTATTTCAAATGGCTTTCCAAATGGGAACCCAAAATCTGCCCTTCTAAATTCCATAACTTAAGTTATAAGATCCCGATTTAGACGTGGGATACCTCGTTGAATTTGTGGTTGAATTTTCTAATATTCTAAATTTACATTTATCTATTTCAGCACGGTTTAAATTGTAGTTCATTTTCATGTTTGATTTTTCCGTATTTCCAATGGCTTTCAGGATGGGAACCCAAAATCTGCAATTCTAAACTCCATAACTTGAGTAATTGGATCCCGATTTAGACGTGAGATACCTTTTTGAATTCGTAGTTGAATTCTCTTATATTCTACATTTAAATTTATCTATTACAGAAGGGTCCAAATTTTAACCCTTTTTCATGTTAGATTTTTCCGTATTTCAAATGTCTTTCAGAACAGGAACCAAAAATCTGGGCTTTTAAATTCCATAACTTGAGTTATTGGATCCCGATTTTGACGTGGGATACCTCTATGAAATCGTATTTGAATTCTCTTACATTCTACATTTAAATGTTTCTATTACAAGAGGGTCAAAATTTTAACCCATTTTCATGTTAGATTTTTCCGTATTCCCAATGACTTCCAGAATTTGACTCCAAAACTGCACTTCCGAATTCCATAACTTCAGTTATTGGATCCCGATTTAGACGTGGGATACCTCTATGAATTCGTTGTGGAATTCTCTAATATTATACATTAAAATATTTTGACAAATAAAGGGTCTCATTTTTAACCCATTTTCAAGTTCGAATTTTTCGAATTTCCAATGGCTAGATTCCATAACTTGAGTTTTTAGATCACGATTCAGAAGAGGCATACCTCTTTAATCCTTGGAAATACAAAAAATGTTGTCCATTTTTTTTCTTTATATTTTAGCATTATAAAGTAATTGTGTATAGAGAAAAGTCATAAAAAATAAATACTTACCACACTTCTTCAATAAGCAGTCCAAGAAATTATATTTCATTTTGTCATATTTAATATTTATTAATTAATTCACTTCTCATAATCTTTATATATAGTATACATAAATGATAGTTTAAAAAAAAACTGTTTCATTATCAACTAACAAATTTGCTTTCCATTCAAATTTCGTTATATATTAAATATATTTGATTTTTTTTTTAAATTTTGTGTTTCTTTTTTGTTTCATACGAAATTCGTTAAAGTAATGGTAATAAAAAAAATTTGGAATTTTTTGTGGAAGTGTAAAATATAAGGTGATCAAATTTCCGTTTCCGTTTCCGACTGTTTTCATGATCAAATTTTGCCTAAACTAACTAGCTAAACTTAAGTTAATATTTAGGTGTGTTGTGTGTGTGTGTGTGTGCTGAACTGATATTTATATATGTGTGTAATCATGTGTGAGTGAAAGTTTACTAGTTAAAAACTAAGTTTATGGAGGGAGAAGATTGAAACAAGGACTCATTCTTGCCAGGCTTCGATTTGCTCCCTCCGGCGTTCTTCTTCTTATTCTTCTTTGGAGGCTGTACAGCGGGCGGTGGGCGTGGCGCCGCAATGCACAGCCCCCGCATAAACCCTAAAGTACGATCCTTAAATCCGATTTGTCATTTCATCCTTATTTCCATTTAACCAACACCAAGCGATTGCACAAAAAACCCGTTGTTGCTTACAACAAATTAAAAGAAAAAAAAAGCGTTAAGCTAAATAAACAGAAATAATAATGCAGTTTAATGTTATGAAATAGAAATCAATCGTTATCAAATTCAAACTCAAATTCGAATCCAGATTCAAGAGTAATTTTATCTTAAACACCAAACTAAGCCTTACACATTATACCATCGGATATATGTTTTTATATAGATATATAACTTTATGTTTTTTTTAGTGTTTGTTCATTTAAGATCAGTACAATTGGTGGTATTGCCTTAAAGCTAAGATTAATGTAAGTTATATATTCAAAAAACTATATTTTCGCATTCGATTTTTCCAAAAGACGTTGGATATTGTTGGGCTTTGACTTCATTTATGAACAGCTTTAGTTTACGTTTCGTTTTTTTGTATGGATCCTAGCCTAGATTAATTGAATGTTTTGCCTCTTTGCAATGTGGTTTGTGATTAAATAATAAATATTTATGCGTATGGTTGGTGGTGTCTAAATATGTTATCCTTGATCATTTTCTTTCGCTTTTTTTTTTGTTTTTTTTTTAGTTGTGTTGAAGACAAATAAATGCAAACGTTTGCAGCTTGTTCGGTTGGTAGCTCTTAACATCTTACAGCTATATCTTTTATATATATATATTTTCTTGTAATATACTTATATTAGAGTGATAATCCAAAATCATGTGTGTTGCTCAAAGCATCTTCAAAACATCGCTAACTTTTTGACTAAGCAGCGGTTTTCCAAAAGAAATAGTAATTACCATAAAACGAAAATTCAAGATTAACTATAAACAAAAGGGCTCTAGTTTCAAGTGAGAGAGATTTGCACAGCAAAGTAAAAGGGGTAACGCGATACCGATACAATAGCCTACTAGATATAATAACTAATCCTAGGGCTAGGCAAAAATATACATAAGCATAATCTCCAAAAATTCCGTATCCTCTGCAGGGGGGGGGTAAGGGCAGTTTTCAAAAAACTTCAAAGTCACAATACGTTGGATAACTTAAAAGGTTCACATTCTTAAATCTAAAATCCAGCCACTAATTATGGACTGGCATGGGCAGCTGGCCGAGCAGATTGTTGGCAAACTGCGAGTTGGTGAACTTAAAGTGCCGCTTGTCGTAGAACTTGAGCAGCGCCGGCGAGAACGGATGGTTGTTCTTCAGGTGCAAGTAGTGAACCTCCGGTTCGCAGGTGGTGTGGCCGCACTCCTCGCACACGTACATCTGCAAGAACAAATCACAGGTGTTAGTTTTAAATAGATTATCGACTTGAAATAGGTTTAATCTGGCACTTACCTTGGCCCTGCGCTCCTTGTAGGCGTACTGATGCTGCACGCTGTGCACCTTTTGGCAATGCGACTCCAGGGAGCAGCGCTGCGTGAAGCTCTTCTCGCACAGGTTGCACTTGTACGGCCGCACGCCCGTGTGGGTGCGCGTGTGCCGCTTGAGGTCGAAGGTGTCGTTGAATCCCTTGCCGCAGAAGGTGCACAGATAGCGCTTGATGTCCGAGTGGCACTTCATGTGCCGATTGAGCAGGCGCTGCAGCGAAAAGGTCTTCATGCAGACACGGCAGACGAACTTATTGTTGCCGGAGGACGAGTCCTCGTTGGCTCCGCCGGATGATGAGCCCATGCAAAGGGCTTCGGCGGATCCGTGACTGCTGGCATTGCTGCTTGCACTGCTGTTGCTGTGGTGCTGATGCAGCTGCTGCTGCTGCTGTTGCTGCTGGAGGGATTGCTGCTGTTGCTGCTGCACCGATTGCTGCATACTCTGCTGTTGCTGTTGCTGCGGTGAACCTTGCTGCTGCTGCTGTTGCTGCTGCGAGTGGTGGCCATGCTTGCTGAGATCATCAATGCAATCGATGTTGCGTATTCGGTGATGGCCACCATGGGCATTCTCCACGGCCAGCGGGTTCTTAATGCCATGTCCGCCGTTCACAAATTCCAGCTGGAGATCTGGCGGCAAGCCCAACTGTTTGAAAAAATCATAAAATATTTATTAATGGGAGGTTACAACATTGAGGATTATTTTTCAGGGGATTCAACAAAACTCAAACAATCACAGACAAACACAAACAACAGGTTAAACAGACATGTTCGGGGTTGGCTCCTCGGAAGAATCGTCGGTAAATGTCAAGTGCGGATCTTAAATCCATAAAATTAACACCAATAACTTTTCAATGGACTGATGTATCTCTCTTTCGTTTATGTTACATTGTAATTGAACATTTTAACTAGATAGATATAAATGAACTTCCAGAGTTTTATAGTGGTTTTCCAATAATAATTATACTTTTACAGATACTATTGCATGCATCTTTTAAGCAAAAATTAAATGTTCAACATGCTTTTAAAAGATTAGATTTAAAACCCTTAAGAATCTCAGTCCATAAAAGAGTATTTGATGGCTAATCTATTGGAGACCACCTCTGTCCCACTTCCGACTCCTCTTCCGCACTTACGCGCCGCTGCAGGACTTTGCTCTCATTCAAAACGGAAACGGTGGGTGATGGTGCCAGCAATCCCGCTGCAGTGGCCGCCGCCGCCGATGCCAACGATCGCAAGGTGGTGCGGTGCACCGTCTTGGTGGCCGGCACTTCTGGCGAGGATTTCAGCGTGGATATCAGTGTGATCATTGTCGAGCCATAGGCCACCGCCTTGGCCCGTCCACGCAGCTTTCTGCCCGATGATGCAGCTGGTGCTGGTTGTGGATCCGGGGTTTCCGGGGCTCCCACTGGTGGCTCCGCCTCCAAGGCCAACTCCTCTGTTGCTATCTCGGTCTCTTCTGGCTTGACTTCAATGCATTGCTCTGGCTTGACCAGCACATCCAGAGCCACCATCTCTACAAACTCAGTGTACCTGGTGGTCTTCATCAAGGTGATTTGTTTTGCCTGCTTTGGCTGCTGTGATTGTGCATTAGGCTGTTGATCTAATGGATTACTTACGCTTTGGATGAGTGGCTTGGTGTCCAGCAGGGCAGCTGCAGCTGCCGCGGCAGCATTTGCGTCCAAGAGCGGACTGTTGCTGCTGCCACCGCTGCTGTTGCTGCTGTTGGTGCCGCCGGAGCTGCTGCTGCTGCTCATCGGTCGCTGCAGATGAGCGGCGGCGGCAGCAGCCGCAGCAGCAGCAGCCGCCGCCGCAGCAGCCGCAGCTGCAGCAGCCGTTGGCGAGGGCAGCGACATGTTGCTGTTGTCATGACCATGGCCATGATGATGCGAGTGGTGTGACTGTTGTTGCTGCTGTTGCTGGTGGTGGAAATGATGTTGCTGCTGCTGCTGTTGCTGGTGATGTTGCTGCTGCTGCTGGGCATACATATTGTGCTGCTGGTAGGCAGCGGCATGTTGCTGCTGCTGTTGCTGCTGATGGTGCGACTGTTGCTGCTGGCTGAGCAATTGCTGCTGCTGCTGCGACATCATGGCAGCCTGCTGCTGATAGCCGCCGTGCTGCGGCTGCTGTTGCATCATCAGGCCACGCGTGGCATGCTGATACGAAGGCGGTGGTTGCTGCTGCACACCATGTTGCTGCTGCTGTACATTGTGCTGCTGTTGCACATTGTGCTGCTGCTGTTGGACATTATGCTGCTGCTGCTGTTGCTGCTGCACACTGTGCTGCTGATGATGGGGATGCTGCTGCTGATTGCTGCTATTACGGGCCATGTTGTGGGTCAACTGCGTCAACAGATTCTCGTGCAGGGCATCCAGCTCGGATGTATTGGCATTGTGCTGCTCCACGGGCGTCACCGAATCCGGCGTCAGCGAGGGCGTGGACACCAGCTCAAAGTCCTGCCGCGGACTGGTGGACTCCTCATCGTCCACACAGCTCCGCTGTAGGAATGAGCTGAGGTCCACGGCATCGGACAGTTGCTCCAGCAGATGATCCGTCTGCGAACTCAACATCAGGGTGGCCGTAAACTGGAGAGGATCGACGGCACCGTTTGGACACTGACCCGAACTGGCCAAATCCGACATGATAGCATCCTCATAGGCGCTGGCATTGAACTGACCGGAACTGCCCATCGTTGCCTGGATTATGTTCTGCGCAAAGGTACCAATATCGATCTTCGCCTCATCGTACTCAATATCCGGCTCATCCTTCAGTATTATCCCGTAGGCTGAGGGATTGCCGCCGTAAAAAGGATGACCCATCATCGATGTTTGACCACCATTGTTGTTGTTGTTGTTATTGTTGTTGTTGTGATGATGATGATGATGGTGATTATGGAATTTGGAATTGGAGTCGTTATAGTTAGAAACACCGGCGAAGTTCAATAGATTATTACCGTCGAGATTATTGTTTGGACCACCAACACCGCCACAATTGATGTAACCATTGCCGCCGCCGCCACCACCACCACTATTTGCCGATGCGCCACCTGAGCCGGCTCCTCCAGCTCCGTTTCCAGAGCCACCTCCTCCTCCTACTCCACCTGCTCCTCCAGAACCAGCTGACATTATATACGCTGCCGCTGCGGCGTTTTGCAAGAAATTCGCTGGATTCCCGTTGAAATGCGAGTGATTTGCGCCGGGACTCTGGCCCGTATTATTGCTGGCCGTGCTCTGTTGGCCGCTCTTGAGGCTCTCGTAGAACGGAGGCAGTGCTCCCGTTGGCGGTGAATTGGGTCCGTAGTTCCCTCGGCCGTCGCGACCGCCGCCCATGCCACCACCGCCTCCGGCACCGGATCCGGGTGAACCAGCACCGCTGCCCGAGTTCTGATTGCCACTGGATGAACCGCTACCGCTGTTCTGGCTGCCAAATCCGGATGATTGAAAGCCCTGACCGGCGGCACCGCTAGAACTGCTACTATTGCGTCCGTGTCCGGCGGCAGCAGCCAAAATGCCAGGCAGTGAGCGCACCAATCGGGGATTTAGCCTTTGGGATTGGGCCAAGAGGACGCGGGCGGCCAAAATGGTACTCCTGCGTCGAGCTTCGCGCACCTGACGCGCTCTTTCCAGCCTCCGGGCGTTCAGCTCCTCATCGGAGTCGTACGAGGGGCTTCGCCGCTTCGGCACGTGATAATCGATGGGCTCCTGTTGCTCCGGACCCAGTTGATCGAGGGGCGGCAGGAGAAATCCAGGCCGGCTGGCTTGCGGTGCCCTCTGGATCACCGAGCAGCGAACGGCAGGCGCCGGATCTCGCGGAGGCGGCGGACTGGGGCGCTGATCCGCTGGAGGCGGTGTGCTGCGCAGGCGCAGAGATATAGGCTTGATAACCGGCAATGGGGGCTTCTCGTCAACGATTAGCTTGCAGCCGCCATCCGAATCGGAATCGGAATCCGAGTCACTGTGCGGATGATTCGGTGGCGGTGGTGAAGCTGGCGAGGATTGTGCGAGGGCGTGTGTGAGGGTTAAGGATAAATCCTTTGGCTCCTGGGGATACTCTTTGCGTTGGGCCTGGGTTAAGACCACGCCGGTATTATAGAAACGGGGGCGTGGCGCCTCTACGCCCACATCCACTTCGTCGTCCTCCTCCTCCTCCGCCTCTGCCTCTGCCGCGGCCTCCACTTGCTTCTCCTCTTTGCTCTCTTCTTCTGCAACGGCTACTGTCGCTTCTTCTTCCCGCTCCCCTCTCTTCTTTGCCTGCTCTTCTTCTTCTGTCTCTTCCTCTTCTTGCTGATTTTTTGGTATGCTAATTGGGGAATTTTCAATTGTGCAGTCTTTTGTGGCTAAAACGGAGGTGGTGGCTTTGCTAGTGTTAACCAAATTATCGCCCTTACCAGGCGCTATAGGGTTAACAATATTATTTTGTGCAGTTGCAGTAGTAGTGGTGGTGGTGCTATGTGGTGTCAAACGCTGCAGCAATTCGGCTGCAAAGTTTTCTGTAAAAAGAAGAAGAGAAAAAGAAAATATTAATTAATAACAGGTGGATAAAAATACTTAAGTAAACTTGGCAAGAAAATGAGAACTTAATAGAACTTTCGAGAGCAAGCTAAAGAAGCAACGGAAAATCACCGAAAATGAGAGCAATTAAGAGTTCAAACTTTTTTTTCGATTTCTACGATCCGTTCGCTTGGGCGACTGCCGTTTAACTGTAAAAAGGAACAGATTTTCTATCGAATCGCGATCCTCCTTTTGTCTCGCATTCGTCAAAAAGTATCGAAGTGTGTAACTGTAATTGGCGCAGAGTTGTCTTGTGATCGAAAGATGGTGAAATATTTAATTTCAATAAATTGTAAAAAGCTAATTAAAAGTGGCATTAAATAAATAAATGCATTTAGAAGTTTAAGTTTACAAAATTTTACTTAAAATACAACAAACGTGCATTTGTAAGGTTTTTCTTAAAATGCTTTCTTTCTTCTTCTTTTTTCTCTTCCTTTTCCCACGCTTTTCTGAAAGCGTCCTCTGTCGTTCATTTTTCAAACTACCAATTTCGAAGGCGTCGTTTTCTGCTGCTATTTATTATTTATTGACAATTAAATCAATTGCCATCGGTTAATTATGCCGATTCGCCAATTGCAAGTGCAAGTGCAAAGACAAAACGGGCAAAGACAAGGTTAGCCGCTAAAAGCCGTCTTGGCTTTAAATCAAAACAAGTGCAGCAAAGCCAAAAGCAAGTAGAAAAAAAACACCAACAACATTGCAAAGTGGTAAGTTATTGTTGTTGTTCCGATCAAGATCAAGGCTTTTTGTTTATGTACATATGTATGTACATACAATGTAGTTTGATAGCGTGGGTGTGTGTGTGTGTTGTTCTTGTTTTTCTAGGCCCTTTGCGAGTGTGTAATTGCATGTGTATGCACATGAGTGTGCAATTACACGAATGTGTGCAATTACAAATGCCAATCACGCATTCGCCATCTCGCTCTGTTGGTCATGGCCAACATTCGCAGTCGCTGCGCAGTCGACGCCGCGTAAATTCTAACTGTCAAATGCGCACACATGCATGCACATTTTTGGCTTACATACGTACAATGTTATCGATTATTTTGATTTTAAGAATGTAAAGAGTTTTTAAAATTTAAAGAAAAAATAATACACAATTTACCAACAGTTTAAAATAACGGAAATGTTATTTATAATTTCGTTCATTTATTTATTAAACTTAAAATGGCTTTAGAGGTCAGTTAGTCTTAAATCAAACAAGTGTTATATAGCAAAGTTTGTAGTACAATCTCGATTTTTTCATTCCAAAGCAAAAAAAAAAGTATTCCAAATTAACAAAAAATTATAATAAATGTAGGTTTTTTACCACTGTTAAGTACTAAATAATTGATCGATTGCCTTGCCGATTTAACGCATTTACCCCACCCCCGCCCGCAAAATGCCTGGCATGCCATTTATGTTTTTAATGGGTTAATAGACGGACAACGCCCACATTCTACACGCCCACCCTCTACATTTTACATGAGCTCTACATGTTACAAGTTTTACTCGATTGCTGGCCATGTGTGCGTGTGTGTGAGTTCGCATTGCCATAGTTGTAATTTATTTTATTGTGTTAAGGTCAAGGCGAATTGTAAAATGTTTATAATTACACAAGCACACATAGAAAACATGTTTGAGCTTGAGTTTTTTCAAGTTGAAAATGAAATGCTAAAAAGGCGGCAAATGTTATTGTTTTTGCGTGTTTTTTTTTTGTTTTTTATCATTTTTGTGTGTTGCTGCCATGAGGAAATGAATTTTAATTGAAGTTGTATTGTACAATAAAAAAAAAAATAAAACAAAGCAAAAACATTGACCTCGAGCCAACAGCAATTAAAACAAAGTGAGAAATAAAAAAAAAAGGAAAAACACTAAAACAATTAGAATTTTTCTAGCTAAAACAGAGATGGCAACACTTGGTGATTACCTTAGAATCTCTATCTCCATCTCGCTCTCGCAAACGCTACAGAGTTCAATGTACGTTTTATCCTTTACCGTAAATCGATTTGCATACTCGCGCCGTCCCTTTCGCACTCGAGTGTGCTTGAACTTTTCAATTTAAATTTTATGCCCCACTGAAATCGGCGGCATCCACCGATTTCGTCTAGCGCAAAATGCGTCGTAAAAAACCAAAAAAAAATGACAAAAATAAAGAAGTAAAAAGTGAGCAAAAAATGATATGGCAAATACGCAAGGCGTAGAAAAAGTACGAGTTCAAATAAAAAGACTTTGTGTGTACTTACACTGTAAAAAATTTAAATGTTTTCTTAAAGATGTTATATTTTTAAATTTTATTTGTTAATTTTAATTGTAAATATTCCTAAAGGAATTTAAAAAATGATCTAATTTCAACTGAATAAACTTTTTTTAATGTTACCCCTTCTTTTTTGTGCGTGTACTATACTATACTATAGATATGTAAATTGTGCATGACAATGCCGACAAAGCAATGCTATTCGATCCGAACCGTTGAAGTTGTCGTATAGAATTCGTAATACATTTCTCTTCTGTATTTTTCGCGCCCACTACGTACAAATGGATTTTTTTTTACGGGTTTGTCGCCTGCTAATTGGGTAGATGAACCCAGGTTTTCAGTATTCTGCGGGAATTTCCAGGTGATTTAAATAAAGTAGTCCCTTAAAGTGGGTGGGGATTTTTTCTAGTATTGAGTTACTGTTTCTGAATTAAGTATTTCGGAATTTCGTTATGTATTTGAGTTTACTTTTGAGGAAGTATTTACAAATTGTATGTTTTCATTTAATTTTTATGCGGGTGTCATCAGAGTTTGATGGCAATAACCAGTACTTTCCTTATAAAGATATAACCCTTTGGGCCATGGGCGTTCAACTTGTTGTCAATGGAAAATTACACAAAAAACCAGAATGAATTTGTAAGTTATAGAAAAATAAGATGTAATAGTTAACTAAATTATAATATTATAATAGGTTTTTTAAGAAAGTTATATAATTCTAGTTTTTTGAAGAGAAAGAGAGGGATGTTGTGGGAGAAAGAAAGATGGCGATGTTAGTCAAATTCCAAACGCATTCTGAGCTTATCGCATATTGAATTCCAGGCATGCACGGCAATTCGATGACGGCACACACCCACACACACCACACACACATCGCACACACACCGCACCCACCTGCCTCCCCCTTCTAATTGCAAATGCCAAACACGTTGACAGAGGCGGCAACGTTTTCCAAGCAGCTCTGCCCATAAACAAATGTATATAAGTATAAATATCTGACTATATCTGAATATATATATGTATATATATGATAGCTAAACAATGAGTAGATCCAGAGTCAACCTCTTGTATTCATTATGTTATTCATAATAATAACGCTGATCATCTAGCTGCAGCATATATTGACCTCAATATTAACAACATGCACCAGGTGCTGTTCTCTTGATTAGCTATTGTTCAAAAACATTTAGTAATGATCGAATCTGCCAGATAATTGCCATGGTTTATAGCGCAAAAAAGAAGAGTCCATATAATCTGTAAATCTCTGATAAAAATGTAATTAGTTGTGCATATAAATTGAAGATTGATTTTTTGAAAGAGGTTTTTCTAAGCAGGAATGTTTGTTTTTTCTTAGCATTAGAAATATACAGCAATGGGACCATGTCAGCCCTCCGTTGACCCATGAACCTTTGGCCAATCTGCGGCTGATGACCCACTTTAAATACGCATCGATCCAACCCAGCAGCCACCCAACGAAACTTTTGCTTTCGCAAAGCTAAAAAACGATTGCAACTGTCGAACGGAATTTAATAGAGCATGAAACTTGACAAAAAACGTTGACAAATGCGCAAAAAAAAACAGAATGTTGACTTAAAAATGAGATGGAAATAAATGCGAAAGTGGCTGGAAGTGTCATCGATTAGCCGACAGACAGCTAATCAATTCCCTGGTTAACTGACAAGTGCGTGTTCTGTTCCTTTTCAAATGTCCAGGAAAAAAAAGAAGCATTTTAAAAATAAGAATAGAATAGCAGATGCAGAACCCTTGTCAAGAGAAAAAAAAGGGTGAAATAATACCAAAGGAAGCGCAGGAAGGAGCTTCCTGTGATCCTGCCAAATTGATGAATGCATCCGTTTGAAGGAAGAGGAAGTTCGAGCTTCTAACAGGTGCTTTTTGTCCTGTTTCGGGTTCTTTTTTCGATCCTTTGCCTTTTTTATGTGTGCTCTTTTATTTTTCGCTGACCAAATGACCTAATGTCCGCGCGCTTCCCCTACAAATTATGTAGTGTAGTGTAAAAGCCTAAACAGCGAACCCTTTTCATTTTTTTTTTTCGATTCCAGCCGATCCTGGCAGCATTTAGCAATTCTAATGCCAAAAGAACCCAAGTGTTGTGCCAACCCATTTGCAACACGATCCGATCCGATCGGATATTGTTTTTTTCTTTGCTCTCTCTTTTTTTTTTATTTGTGTGCCTGTATCACAAGATCAAGATCGCAGACCCTCGGGACAGTCTATAAATTTATGGGCTCCTTTTCTCGCTCCCCAAATGAATTTGTCTCTAACGCCCAATTTGGCTTTTGGGTTTATTTTTTTTTAGGGTTTCTTCCGCTTCAGCTGCTGCTGCTGTTGTTGATAGTTCGATTTCTAAGGGCTTCCAAGGTCTTTATTAGGCCCTTCCGTCTCGGGTTACCCACTCATTTCATACCGCTGGCCGAAAAAAAAACTTAAAATGCATTAAGTGCCATGCAATTAAGTTTTATCGATCCTCGAAAATCTGCCCATCGCGATTGCCGCTTTGTTATATATTTATAAACATTACCTGTTGTGGCCGCTCCACATATGTATTAAGTATATGAATTATAAATTGCCGACGCGTTAACAAAATAATTTCGTTTAACTTAATTACATTTTTCATGCGCTTGCTTGGGCGATGGGTTCTTTTGAGTCTTTTTGATCATATTTTTGGGGGTTTTACCAGTTTGGCGCTTAAGTCTTCTGTTTCAGGATGTTTTTTTTAAATTGGTTCGGTTAAGCTTTATGATAATACATTCGGTTTTGCATTATCTTGGCTTTTTATTGAAAATAGTTTTTAAGTTTGTTTCCTAAGTCTTTTGTTTATTTTCGGTATTATAATTTAATGAAGCTAAATTTCTTAAATAGTATTTTGGTATTATCCATTCTATCCAATGTTTTTAAAAATGTTTCCCCCTACCCTCAAACATTTAGTGTCTGTTTCTCCTGCTTCGTTTTCAAGGTCGAAATTGCAACGAATTATGGCCGCTGCTAAATGTTGGTTAAGCATTTAATGTTTTAGTGTGTGAGATATCGCTGTTCGTCATCATCAGCGTTGGCAACCACTCAGGGCCTCCGACTTGAAGCGTCTTAAATTGCAAACCACATGGATATAATCCGAGTGTTCAGGCAGCAACATTTTCTACACAGAACGAAAATATGCTAAAGAATGCCAAGGAAATGTACCACCCAATGCACATAAAAAAAGATATGGATAAAGTTTAGCAATAGGGAAAGGTTGGAACCATTTAACTATTATATTATGTATGCTTAAATCGAATTTTCCAAGAAGAAGTGCAGCTTGATGTGTTTTTCTAAGTGCTCTTAGCTTTTATCCAGGGTGTTCTATACATATTTTTGTGGTTGATAATATTTTCATTTTTTTTTGCACTTAGAACATTACTTATCTTTTTTTTAAGTGTATTCTACACAGTTACAAACAAGCTGTGCTGACATGTGCTA